GCTCCAAAAGCTGTTAGCATGACCTTTCTTATCATTAGATTGTGCCACACCAGCATCTGAGAGAAAAGCTTTGAGTTTGATTTTGTGTTTGTGTTTTGCAGGCACTCAGGAGAATAAGTCATGATGTTTCTTGTGTTTGTCATGTTAGTATCTCAGTGCTTGTCAATCACCAGTCAACAGTGTCACCACTGTGAACAACATCCTTCGACTGTTCGAGCCAAAACCTTGGAGAAGTCCCTGCAGCCGCTTCAAAACTCATCACTGAGCTCGATCTCTCTTTTAACACGCTGGAGACAACAATGAAAGATGACTTTCTTTCATATGCTGCTTTGAGGGCTTTGGTTCCGTGAATAACAACAGAGATCAAAACCATCCATGAAGAGACACTTTCGACCTCGCTGATTAATTGTGGAGAACACTGGACTTCCACATAACCAGTTGGAGCCACTTTTGGTCTTCTGGCATAGCGTTGTCAGAAACTCTGAATTTCTCTCGCACTATTGTCAAGCTTCTTGGTGTTGGGAACAACAAAGCACTTACTCACCTAATCCAGGTGTCAGCGTGTGGCTTCCTTATGAATGGAGTTGTTAACTCTTGACTTTGTTGATTAAACGTTGCAAACCTGCCTTCAGTGTGTCCTGTACATGAGGTCATTTAGTACACCACAGCACGGTGAGTTTTTTGAGCTGATGAAGTTCAGCCAAAACAGGAAACATGCAGCAGGAGACAGTAACTTGTTAAAATGTTATAAAAGGTACAATTAAAGATTTTCACCCTACAGGGTTGTCAATGATCCAAGGATAAATGTCTAATTTGGTCAAAATTTTATAAGCCATTTCTGGAGAGACTGCAGTGGAAATGTTGTCACTTTTGGACTTTGCTACCTGCAGCTAAACATTTGCAGCTAAATCATTTATTTAAAAGCAGAAGCTGCAACTGATCGAGGGAATATTTGTCTGAAAACTTAAACTGAACTCCAAGGGTACCATTGCTCCAGCTTACCATCTTTACCTGAGTGAATCAGTTTGTTGAACAATCTAAATGATTCAGAAACTTCTGTGACATCAACTTAACTAAGGCTCATTACAAATTTCACAAAACACTGCTGAATACTTTTAATATTTTTTTATTAGTTATTTTTGTTTTGTTGTTATTTTGATTTTAATAAAACAAAATAACATAAAGAATCAAATTGTTTCTTTGTTTTTTTAATTTAATTTATTTTACAAATAAATTAATAATAATATTAATAATAATAACAACAAATTAGTGCTGTCAGGTAACGTCATTAGTTAAAATGACGTTAACCTGACAGCACTAATTTGTTGTTCCCAGAGAGCAAGCCAAACACTGGTCAGAAAAGGACGAGTGCTCTAGTAGATTTTGTTTTAACCTCCTAGGACCTGGTGTCCACATATGTAGACATAACATTTTGGGTTGTCTAGACCAAAATAAAAATTTTGCTCTTCAAAAACCTGATATCCACTTATGAGGGAGGACATTACACTGCCACTGTTCAATCGAAATTTAAAATGAATGTCCTCATATGTGGATCTCATTCTTTTGAGAAACAAAAAAAAGATAGTCCGAATCTGATGTCTTTGTTTTACATTCATCAGGTCCCAATCAACCCAAATGGCACAGAGAAATTAAAAATGCATGCCATGAAAGAGTTCAGGTCTTAGGATGTTAAAAATGTCCCTGCTGATGAGACCAGTGAATGTGGGGCGACGGTGGCAAGAAAAAACTCCCTCCTGGAGGAAGAAATCTTGGGAGGACCAGGCTCTCTGGGAGGACCCTTCCTCCTGAGGGCAATACTTACCTATACTTGTCCTCCAGTGTGCGATGGTGGGCTGGGACGACTGTCTTTTCCTTCTCAGCATGATGATGACCTTCTTCCTTCCTTCCATTTCCTGTTTCAGAACTGAGAATGAAGACAAAACTGGTTAACAAGGTAACAGGACATTTAAAAATTCTCTCACTTCAGGATGAGATGCTGTGTCTTCTTACGTTTCTCTTGTAAAACAGCATGTAGGCCGAGTGCTGCTGTTCCTCACAAACTGCAGATCCAGTTGTGTGGAGCACCTGTGCGTCATTATAGGTGAGCCAGCGATCTGATGTAGAGTGCTGACTCTCCTCAGGATGGACAGAACTACAGATGTAGTGTCCTGAAATCACATTAAGACAAATGAATCCAACTTCTGGAAGTCAACTGATTCAAGCAAACAGTGATTTTGACTTAGTGCTTCTTAGAACATCAAAAGCTTTTGTGTGTGAGTCCTTCACTGAAAAGTAGCAAGTTTTCATTTTCTGTTTGTACAAGTCTGTTGTTTTACCTGACTCTGTGCCTCCATAATGATGATGATGCTGACAAGACTATAACAGCCACCACCCTGAGAAGGAACAAATCCAAAGAGTGTTAGTTTCATAAAGTCTCACATCGTGCCATAATTAAGCTGATTTGCTGAGGCTACGTCCACACTAATGCGTTTTCGTTTGAAAACACATCGTTTTCTCTCCGCTTTGACCTCCCGTCCACACTGAGAGGCGTTTTCCTCAAGGAAAAACACAGCATCTTGAAAACGCTCTCGAAAACGCATACATTTCAAAACGGAGTTGTCCCGTCGCAGTGTGGACACTCGAAAACGCAGACTTTCTAAAACGATGACGCATTTTAGTCATGTGATGCAGTCATGTGAGCAATTAAACAAAGATAGCCGAGTGCATTATACAGCAGTTGTTTTGATTGCTCTCAACTTTGACAGCCCTAAAAAAGATTAATATCAGTTTGTACATGCTCCGGATAGCTTTTCTTCAAATTCTGTAATTCTCACTCACTTTTGCGCATGCGCAGGACTGGAACGTAAGCGTTTTCGGCCGTTTCAATGCAGACGCACAACTATTTGAAAATGACTGAAAACGCTAGTGTGGACACGGAGTTTTCAAATCTATCCGGGCTAGTGTGGACGTAGCCTGAGACGTTCTGCAGTCTGTTTTTACCTGATTGGATGGCACCACCAAGTCCCTCTGCAGCCTGACGGGGTCATCCACCTTCTTAATCTTGTAGGTTTGTGTAAAGCCAAACCTCTTCAGATGCAAGATCAGAACTCTGGCAGAAAAGAAAAAAAACACAAACAAGGTAGAAAATAAGAAGAATGAGTGTCAAACACAAACAGAAGATGGGAGAAAACGACTGCTCAAGTATTGTCTCGAAAAACTCTGATATTTGATGCGCCACAGTTTGGAAACCTGGTCAGTCGATCAATTCTGATGTGACCTTACTCACCTTGGCAGTGTATCAAAAGACGACTTCAGTTCTGAGGCCGTCCCTCCACAATCACAGCGAAATTCTATTTCTTGTTCCTGAACAACAGCACAGAGAAAACAGGCTTTATGGTAGAAAGAAATCTCAACATATGCACACACACATACACACAAACACTAACAAAAAAGGTGTGTTAAGATCGCTGATACGACAACTCTATTGGAATTTGTGATCTTACCTTCAAGTATGTCTCTAACATGTTTATAATAGACCCCTCTGGAACAAGGTCAAGAGACAAGCTGGTGAATTCCTCTTGCTGTGATGATTGGTGACCACAGCTACACATTTCAGGAGTAACGTAGTTAAAGTAAAGATCAGGTACGTGGAAAAGAGGTATATGAAAATATTGCAACCAGCTCTGCGTTTCTGAAAGACAGGCTTACCTCTTGCATGTCCTCATGTTTTCCATTTTAAAAATGTGATGCTCTTCTACTGGGCAGGTATAACTTTGGCCCAGGAGAGCTGCGTTCCTCTCCAGGTGAGGTGTGAGCCTTTTGACCTCATCGAGGAACAATGTTAGGAATTCATGAGCGTCCTGAAAGAAAAGCAGAGAGATTTAAAACAGTACATCAAAATCAGAAGGTAAAGCAAAAAACGAAATGTCCAAATAGCTGACGCACTTTCTGTGCACTGCCGGTGTATTCAGGAGCTTGATGCTGAATGCCTTCTTAAAAGCTCTTAGGTGGTGATCTTTAAGGCCATAATCTGTTGACTCATGACAGTCCCTGACATCAATAAGCCTTCTGTAGAAAGGAAAGGGTAAACAGACATTTCTGCTGTTAGATCTCTTTGTTCTTCAGGTTTTTGAAGAAAGTAGAAGGTTGACGTAGCGCACCTTAAGAGCTGAGCTTCTGGATCTGTGCTCCACAAAACCCCCTGACGCCTGATGTCTCTTATGAACTCCTCAATGTTGAGGAGGCTCTGCAGGCAGGAGTTCATGTAGCAGGTGTTTCCGATGTTTGGAAACCTGACACACACGCGCAACGTTTACAGTATCAGTGTAAAATACTCTCTACAGCTGCACAAAATAACAGCTTTTGGAGCACAAAATGCATTACAGGTAAACCCAGTACCCAAACATGTTAACAAGGATAAAGAAAAAATCTGAAACAAAAGCAGGTAGTGTGGTGATTTATGTTGTGAGGATGCTTTCACTCCCATCAAAGTCACCCAGTGTTGAGAACCCAAATGAGCCCAACAACCTCAAGTGGCTGCAACCAACAGCGAACGTCAAGAAGTGGATACTTGCATGTTGAGCCAGAAACATGCAGAAAACCCAAAAGAGGCGAGACAGCACATCTTGGTCCCACTCAGGCAGTACGAACACCTGGAAAGAGGAGCCCACAGTTCAGACCCAAGGTCACTGGTAAGGACACCAGCCAGTTATAAGTCTAGTTTTAATTTTCATTTTAGTTAGTGTTATGGCCTTTCTAAGGGTGGCCAGACCATAATATAAGGGTGATCCACCCCTGTCTGACCCCAAGCAGCACATCACACAACCAGTACAATTTTGATGGTGATTTTTTTTCACAGTGATTGAATTCTAACAAAGGAAAGGAGCGAACTATAGCTTCGGGGTGGACCCCAAAACAACAAACAAAAGGGACCGTATCTAAAGGATGTACAAAACTTATTTATGAAAAGAATAAAACCAAATGACAATGTCTTATCTCCCTAACTAAGAAAAACATGAGAAAAGGGTAATCAAATAAAAAGGCAGTCCACCCCTACATGCTCCTGTATAAAGAAACCGGTAACACAAAGCCTGCCGGTTGAGGTCCATGGCGGTGTCATCTTATATGTTGTCTCCAGGTCAAGGAGACAACATATAACATGGATAGACAGACAGATTTCAAAATAGCCAGCTGGAATGTTAAGGGGTTGAATAACGGGATTAAGAGGAAGAAAATATTAACATATCTAAAGTGATCAAGAGTTGATATAGCCTTTATTCAAGAAATGCACATGTGTAAGTCAGAAGCCTTAAAACTTAAATGTTCCTGGGTAGGTAAAGTCTTTTCCAGTCCTGGAACTGGTAAAAGTAGGGGAGTGTCGGTTCTGATTCATAAAGCAGTTAGCTTTACTGAAACAAAAGTAATAACAGATAAGGAAGGTAGATTTATATTGGTTTATGGACAACTACTGGACACACCAATAATTTTATGGAATATCTATGCACCTAATGCGGACATACTCGCCTTTTTTCACAACCTGTCACAGTATCTTTTGGAATTAGAAGGTGCACAAATAGTGGTAGGAGGAGATTTTAATCAAATACTGGATCAAGACCTAGATAGATCACTTCCTAGGAGAGGCACAGAGAGTAAATCTGTAGTTGCCATAAGGCAGATGACCTCAGATTTAGGTCTGAATGATATTTGGCGGACAATGCATCCAGAAGGCAGGGAATATTCCTTTTACTCTCCGCCTCATAATGTTTATACTAGAATCGACTACTTTCTTATTTCTGAAGCCTTAGTGAATAACTCTATAGATTCAAGTATTGGTAATATAGTATTCTCGGACCATGTGCCAATTTTTCTATGTCTTGGAAATATTTTACAGATTCCTCAAAGCCGCAGATGGCATTTAAATGTGTCCTTAATTAAAGACTCTGGGTTTATTAAATTGATAAAGAGATGAAATACAATTTTACAAACAGACAAATAATCGAGAGGACACTACATTGGCTACTTGGTGGGATGCTATGAAGGCATACTTAAGGGGGAGGACAATTTCTTAAGCTTCCTTTAAAAAGAAGGCAGCTAACAAGAACATCACGTTAGAAGCCAAATTAAAGGCACTTGAGGCAGTACATTCCCATACAAAAGACAGAGTTACGTTGAATAAAATTGTTAAAGTTAAATATAAGTTGAATGTACTGTACAACAGAAAGGCAGAGGAGAAGAGAACGGCAGGGAGAGATGCACGAGGTTAGCTGAACCAAAGTGAGAGACTCAGCTAGTTTTACTGAGGTTAACTAGCACAAAAGAGTGTATGACTAGAAAGCTAGCCGTGTGAGAGCTTCGCAACAGAGTGTGGGTGAAGTGACTTTTTGTTTCAACGGTCGCACCACCGTGTAAAACTGTGTTTCCAGCTACGACTGCCGAGGCTAAAGGCTAGCCCGGACTGCTTGGCTGCGCCACGGAGGCAGCCGCTATGGACTGTCGGAGAGCTGGACAGTGACTGGCTAACGCGCTGTAGCAGAGACAGCATCCGGTCCGCAGGGAGAGCGGAGAGTGGATTTAGTTTGGGACTGGTGAACGGAAACCTACCGAGCAACTGAACTGTAAGTTGGACTTTCGTGCTCTTACTGGGGAGAAGAGGATTTTTCTCCATCGTCCGCCGTGAGCAGTAAACAGGCCTGCAACAAGTGTGAATGGGAGTGTGTGTGGGGCCCATGTGTGAATATTGTGTATTTAGTGGATTTATATAGCATATTTTTTGAGTGTATATTAGTGAGTCACTTACCAAGAGGTGATAACATAATTTGTGTTGTTTAACATAATTTCAAAGGGAAATATTTCATTTACACAGCATGTTTCATTTGTTTATGGAGCTGGATATCATTTGAGTTGAGTTAAGAAAAGGGTGTGTTGTACATTACTTTTTTCCAGCCCATACATTCAGTAAACGTTTGGTTTGTGTTAAAGAGTTGTCTGGGGTTGATTCTTTTACTACTGGTTAAGTCTAACTTGCAGGCAAAGGTTTACTGATAGTTTCCCCGATTCCTGTCTATACCAGAACCTTTTGTGGTATCTAGGCTGTAACAAACCTAACACCCCGCCTAGGGGGTCCAAACTGAGGTAAGTGGATTTAGACTCAGTATCACGGGTGGGGTTCTACACCTGGTGTGTGTATTTATACTGCGTGTCTGCCTGTGCTCCTCGTCGCATCGTCTGTGTTCATTCCCTATGTTTCTCTATGTCTCCCTGTTCTGCCGTCCTCATCTGCCATCTCTGAGTTTCTCCCGTTGACCTTATGTTCCAGGCTTGTTTGTTAGTTTCACCCAGTTTAGGTTTATGTTCAGTCCTGCCCTCACTTCTGTAATTTTCACTGTAAATAAACCTCCACTCGCATCTCCATCACCGTCTGCATCTTGGGTTCTCATTTATTCATCACACGACTGCTGCCCCAGTCGTGACATAAAGTTCACTATCAGTAACATCATAGCACCCACCCAGCTGTATAGAAACTCTGTCATGCTAGCTAGTAGCAGTATGACTTATTGTAGCTGACTGTAAAATATAAAAAGTCAGCACAACGAAAATAAACTACACCTAAACTTGGTTTATATCTGACCCAGCAGGACTGCAGGTCATAACTTCTTACCTGAAGTTCAGTTCACCTGACACTCGGACAGCGGCCGCCTCGGGTCTCTCCGCCTCCTGCCTCCCTTATACTCCCTCATCCACCCACTGGCCTCCGTGGAAGCCACCAAACAACTGACTTATTTTTACACATCGGCCAGCATCTGGCCAATCCACCACCTTTCATTGTTTATGCCGTTCCAAGAAAAAAAAATCATCAGCCCGGGCAAATACCCGGTATACCTGATGGCCAGTCCAGCTATGGTCATGCCAACAGTTAACCTTTCCCGTGCCACAGCTGGTTGCCGACCCCTGGACTAGACTATTTAACAATATGTTACAGATTTATGTTACAAAGAAGAAACGCCACAGAGGAGGTTCGCGGATGTAGTGAAGGAGGACATGCAGAGGGTTGGTGTGACAGACGATGCAAACAATTGCCCAGTCCCACAAAGCTATGGTAAAAGCTAGCGTGAGATTGGGCTGGGTTCATTGTACTGCTGTATATGACTACCAATCCCTTCTAATTAGATTAATAAAGAGCACCACAACTGTATCTTACACAAAATTCATCCTTCACCAGGTATTTATTTGGGAAAGGAAAAAATGAACTGAAAAGAGTTACTTTCTTATGAAATGAACAAAAATAAAACCCAATGTAACAATTACTGCATGGTATATAAATTAAGATTTTCAAAATAAAACACCAGGCCTCCTAAGTCCTAACTCTGGTTTCAGTCATAAAACCTTATACCTTTAAAGTGGAATGGCTTTCACCTTTGAAATGCCCCAGGGTGCAACTAAAACCGTTATTGTCAACTTAAACCACATTTGTACTAGTGGGCCCCCACATACACACACACATTTACTTGTCCATATTAAACCTGAAGCATAGGCCCTTTCTCTTGTTTGTACTTGCGTTCTCGTGTACTCGTGATACGTCATCAGTCGGAGACCAAGTACTGTTCCAATTCAAAGTATGCATCAAGCCGAGAACGTGAAAAAGTCCCGGATGTGTTCTCGCTCCGCCTGTTTTATCGATAAATGAACGTTTTCTTTAAATTATTTGAATATATATGAGTGCCTGTGTATAAATACACAAACAATACACATGCTTTCAATTGTGTAATTTAAGTGATCTAGGTAGCTCTGTTTTGGAAGTTCAGTTAACGCTAGAAATGTGTTTTGGAGTTTCTACGTCCTTTAGAATTTGTACGTGCTTTTTGGAGTTTGTACGGGCTTTATCCCTAGGGGCCACTGTATATATTTATATATAAACATACATAAATAAAACCACTTTTTTTTTTTTTTTACATTAGAAATTCCGTTTGTGCATAATTTTATATTGTTGTTAATAATAAATTAATTAAAGCAACAAAACAACCTGAAAAGCCGTCTGGGAGCCAAAAGAGCCGTCTCTTTTTAGTGAGCCGAGCTGAAAGAGCCGGTTCTCTAAAAAGAGCCGGAATTCCCATCACTAATTCTTAGGACTTAGCTTCTGTGTCAGGTCCCACAGGTTCACCTGAACCTTTACCACTTGTCCCGCCCCAAAGCAGAAAAGAGTGATTTGGATTGGCTTGTTAGTCTAGCAACCAAAGACAATACAAAGTTGAGACGACTGACATTAGATTGGTAAACAAATTAGGTGAACCTATAAAACAGTCATAAATTCAATTATGTTTAATTCTTGAGTTTAATAAACAGATAATGTCTGTTAGCAGTTAATCTGTCATTACAGTTACATGCTGAAGCAGGAATATATTTGTTTAACACTCACAAACGTAGGACTTAGTCATTTCTACTTTAATTTCTCCATTTTCTACCTATTAAAGGATGACAAAATCGCATTTGGAGTCTGCTGTAGTTGATAGTGGTGCAAATACTTTCACAACTACAAATCAAAGGTTTTTACACTTAATTTGTCTTGTTTTTCAATACATCATTATTTTAAAATACATTGTTATTTATCATAAGAAAGAGCAGCGTTGATGAGTAATGTGCTAGTTTTCTGTGGTGCCATTTTCATCCTTGTACTACTGTGGTAGTGAAATATACTTTAGAAATGTGCTATAATAATGCAGTTCTTTAACTTGGAGTTGGTCTTGTATGGTTTAACCTTTTTTTCCTGTGTGTGTTCGCATTTGTATTGTAACATGTATTCTGTAGCGATATCTCCCAGGTGGCGTCTTTGGTCTCCTTCCTTGCTGTTTTCTGGTAGTGACCTCACCCAGATAGCTGTAGGATGGTCACTCACAGGCTGAACACAAATCTTTCTTTTAATCTTTGCTGCCATTGTATTAAACTTGATTTATGAATTTATGTATTCAGTCAACACAAATTCCAAGCAGGTAATAAGCTTTGGAGCTCAGCAGCAGTCAGAAGAGCTTGATGAGGTGAGGAAGAAGTTACTGCCTCTGTCAGTGCGCCCCAGGGTGGCTGTGGCTACAATGTAGCTTGCCATCACCAGTGTGTGAATGTGTGTGTGAATGGGCGAATGACTGGATGTATAAAGCGCTTTGGGGTCCTTAGGGACTAGAAAAGCGCTATACAAATACAGGCCATTTACTGTTGTCCTGGAGTAACTGTAACCCACACAATTCCCTGAGGAATTATTAAAGTATTCTGATATTAAAATCTAACATGAAATGCATTCAAAGACAGAACGGAAAATATTCACAAGCAAATAAAATAATATATTCAATAGTTGTTGTTTTTTGTTCTATCTTTCAAATCCTGTTTATAAATTGGCTTTAGCCTGTGCAGCATCACAACTCAGGTGAGTTCTAAAGAACTCCTGGATCTTCTTCCACAGGTGAATCTCTGCTGCTGCGTGGGCCCTGGGCTCCCCTCCCCACACCACTGAGAAGCTAAGCATCCCATGTAAAGCAGAGGAACAGAAGGGTCCATAGGGTGGCTCCAGCAAATGTCCAGCTCCAGGATAAAAAACAGTCTCAAAGTTCTCCTTCCCATGACGCTTCAGTCTCTCCACCATCTCGTCCATGTAGGCCTTGCTGTCCCAGTTGAGGTCATCCTCTGCAGCCACAAAGAGGAACTGGCTCTTGGCTCGTTCAATGGGGACGAGGCTTCCTTTGTTCTTCTCTTCCAGGGGATCTTCAGTAGCATACTTGATAAGGTTTGCTCCAGACTTGGTGGCAATCACCTTGCTGAAGTCAAACATTAAGGGTGAGAGGATCTGCTGTTTCTTGTAGTAGAGGGGAGTGCCCACACTGGCACTGGTGCCATTGATCCAAACTAAGGCCTCCACACCGGGCACGAATGCAGCAAGAGAGAGCGCGATATCTGTTCCCTTTGATCTTGATATTATGCCGACTCCTTTACTGCCCGCCTGTGAAATAACACACAGATTAAAGGTGATAAACACACACAGAGCTCAGAAACTGGCAATTCCAAAGTATTAAAAGTTGTGACCTGCTGGGTATTTAAACTGCAACAGTTTAAAGAAAAAATGGGTGTTCTGGCACATAACTCGTAACTACACATAACTAGAACTCCCTAAAGCAGTATCTCACTTTTTGCCAAGCAATTCTTCAAACCTGACTGATTTTTAACCAGTTCACTGCATTTCACAGACTATGCATGCAATCATCCCCCCCAAAAAAAAAATTGCTTCACATTCGGTCTGAACACACAGTTACATGGGTTCTTGTAATGTTACGCTGCTGCTGGCTTAAATGTCACCCACTGGGCCCACCTTGGGGTGGTGGCGTAAGAAATCCACGGCTTCTTTAAAGGGGTCCAGATGTATCTCTTTCATATTTTGTCTGTCACTGAACACTGCAATCGTGAGGACCAGAAACCCTTTGTTGGCCAGCAAACAGGCTCTTTTCTCAGACATGAAGGTGCCCAGATCCAGCACAGCAGGGAACGGACCTTCTCCTAGAACACAGACAACAAAAGTTTCATGTAAGTAGGTTATAATCATGCATAATGTGCAACTTTAACCTAAAGCCCTACAATATCCATCCATCCATCCATCGTCATCCGCTTTGTCCGGGGTCGGGTCGCGGGGGCAGCAGCCTAAGCAAAGCCCTACAATAAAAGATCCATATTCAACACTTCATCTATGTTTTCCAGTTTAAATATGAATTAAAATGTTTTTCACTCATGTATCATGATTTTGGTGTAAGTTTCATCATATAGTTTCATTACAGCCCAATTAGTGCTGTATTTTATGATCTCAGAGGTGTTCAAGACATTATTTTTTTTATATTTAAGGATACTTTTAAATAACTTCACAAAGTAGTACAATAAGTACTTCTACAAAGGACACAGCTGTGCAAATATGATTACAGCTAATATGACAAGCCACCTAATCTGACAAGTCACCCCCTCCTCTGTCCTCCAGATTAGGGCTGCCACGATCAGTCGACTAGTCACGATTACGTCGACTATCAAAATCGTCGACGACTGATTTAATAGTCGACGCGTCGTTTGAAGCTTTGTAAGATCACAAAGACGCAGGAATAAGTAGCAGGATTTAAGAGTGTAATAACGGACTGAAACAGAAGATGGCAGCACTGCATGTACAAGGATGCCAGCTGCCGTTAAACCCCGAAGAAGAAGAAGCTGTGTCCCAGAATTCATAGCGCAGCCCAGCTCAGTTTCCAACAATGGCGGCAGCTAGTTAGTTTTAATATTACTCTTATTATTCTTTCTGGGTCACAAAATAAACGTTTAACATATTTTCAGGCGAGAATGTAGCTGTGTAAACCTCAAATATCTGCTCAGTTTATCAGGACACCACATATTTTCAAAAGCGCTCCGACGTTTTCGGAGACGTCTGTTACCCACTAGCTCGATAGCTAGCCGGGGGCTAGGCTCACTAGCGCCGTGAGAACACCGGACTCCCGGCAAATCGTTTTCAAACCCACCGCCGTCTTTCGCTACTCAGGTTAAACATGATATATGAGTCACTTAGATAACTTAAAAATGTTATTGTTTGGCTTTTTTCAGTATTTTATTTGTTCCTGAGTAAATCGGCTGAGTTTATTAAACTCCACCAAAACAATCTGCACATTTAATTAAAATTTAATAAACTACCATCTTGTCTTTATTTTTAGTTAGCACATACCTTAAACACTTAAAGCTGTAAGCTAATGATAGTTATATAAGAGCAGATGCTGCTGGTGCAATAAGCTGTTGTTTTACGTCCAATGGATGATGATCTGATTAGTCGACTAATCACAAAAATAATCGGTGACTAGTCGACTATCAAAATAATCGTTTGTGGCAGCCCTAGTCCAATGCACTGAGTGAATCTTTAAACATTGTTATTAATCTCTGTCTCTCTTCCACAACATGTCTTCTATCCTGTCTTCCTTCTCTCACCCCAGGTCGCAGCCCGCCGCCCCTCCCTGAGCCTGGTTCTGCTGGAGGTTCTTCCTGTTAAAAGGAGTTTTTCCTTCCCACTGTCGCCAAAGTGCTTGCTCATAGGGGGTCATTTGATTGTTGGGTTTTTCTCTGTATGTATTATTGTAGGGTCTACCTTACAATATAAATACTTTGAGGCGACTGTTGTTGTGATTTGGCGCTATATAAATAAAACTGAATTGAAAGTGAATCAAGAAAAGTGATGTACCCTTTGCAGAAAATATACCTTCGCCACCTGTTTAAAAAAAAAGGGGGGGCCCGCTGTAATGATAGTGAATACTTCTAAGTGGAAAACCACATACAGTACCTGGGGGTGTAAACAAGACTCCTCGTATGTTCCCCTCTTTGATTGGGTCCCGACTGACCCCGTCTCCCATCAAAAACCTCTCGTTTGTCTCTTCTGCCAGTATCCTGCCATCCGCCTCCTGCTCATGCACAGAAAACTTCACCACGTGAGGGTTCAGAGCTTTGTTCTTGAAGAAGTACTTGTGCAAAGTGTCTGCCTTCAGTGACTGCAGCAGACCCATGGGCTGCACTCCAACGTAGCTCCCGTTGAGTGAGGGGTCTCGGTTCAGGTCGACCTCTCCGCCATCATCTGCCCTGTAAGTGGCTGAAGAGCCGAACACCACTTCTCTCTCGTCGGTCGATGTGGCTCTGATTGTGACCACCTGCCTTGACCGCAGCCCGGCCACTTTCAGTTGAACGGGCTCATCAAACAGACACCTGGTGCTCGGCAGCAGCCTCAGCCTGACTTGGGAGGACATCTTTTCTGAAAGATCAAAGACTGAACTCCATGAATGTTCAATATTTGGACAAATGGGTCATTGCAAGGAAAATAAAAAAGAAACATTCTTGGAATGCTTCCCACTCGACACCATCAGAATCAGATCTTTTTTTTTTTTACTTCAGTATATTTGAGGACGCAATGCTACATACTATGTAGATTACTGGAGTTACAGACCAGAATACAGTGTTAGGTCAAAATGTGGCACTTTTTAATGTCCCAGCATTTTTTAAACCTCACAACTTTTTAACCACATGAAATTTTAAAGGCTGAAAATTACATTTCAGCTTTGTTACAAACAGCAACCTATTTAATTTTAATTCAGCTGTCTACTGGGATATATCAAAATTTTCAGTAGTAAAACTTCATAAATTTAATGCCAATGATGCAGAGAAAAAGAAACAAGCAATAATACACCGGGTATTTTTCCTGCTCTGATCAGTCACTGGAGAAAACTCTCACAGGTGCATTTTGATGACCTTTCACATAGTTACAGGATGTGAAAGGCCATTTTTTCCCTACATTCTAGCGTCCAAAGTAATTTTCTAAAGCAGGGATTCCCAAAGTGTGGGCTGGGGCCCTCTGGTGGGCTGTAAAGGTACTGCGGGTGGACCACAGTATTACAGTTTTTTCTGAATGCTTAAACCCTAACTGTGATTCCTGTAGCACAATCTCTAAAACTATTCAGACTTATAGCAAAACCACTCACTGAGTTTGCAAAACTAAAAGCACAAAAACTGCTTTGCACTCAGTTTGCAATTTTGTAACACACACTTTGCAAAACTGTAGGCACAATTCACTGCACAACACTCAATTACCAAATTTCCAACACACTCCTAGCAAAAGTATACACATGTATGGCTATCATTAACACTAATTTGCCAACTGTCTGGCACACTTTCACATGTGAAAACTTTTTTAGATAATTAGTTCACTTTGCAATCAGCCTAAGCACTATAATACAGGTAAGCTGTGTGTGCGGAGTACAATGGAGGGAGCAGAAAGAGTGAGAAGTAGAGGAGGCCGAGGAAGAGGACGTGGAGGTGAAGAAGTAGGATGAAGAGGACGACAAGGACAAGGAGGAGCAAGAGGAAGACGAGGAGGGGGGAGAGGAAGATGAGGAGGGGGGAGAGGAAGGGTAGGAAGAGTAAGAAATAGAATTGCTGATGACATCAGAGCTACAATAGTGGACCATGTAATCAACCGTGGAATGACCCTGAGGGTAGCTGGCCAACGGGTCCAGCCTAACTCGAGCCGCTACACTGTAGCAAGTACCATAAGGACATCTTGAAATGAGAATCGGTTAGTACAGTCACTTCGCACAAAGATTTGTAGCACTGCCATATGCCAATGAGAAACACACCAATACCATTGATGTAAAAATACTGAAATTGTTACTTTACAGAATTGCTAGATGACCAGATGCTGGGGGCAGAGGAAGCATGTTCACTGCAGACCAAGTAACCCATATAGTCATTATGGCGATTGCAAATAATCCTATACTTGGAAATAAACACTTGTGTTTGTTTTGATGTGTTTGAATAAACACCAGTACTTGAAGTTTGGATCCCTCTATGCTTATGGATCTATGACAGAAGTATGAGCTCAAACTGACATAGCCTACCTTGTGCACAGAGAAAGCAAAAGCCAGATGTGTTTTGTATTCATACCATCAGTGTGCAGTTGGCGCATTGTGTGCTTAGTAGATGATGGCTTGTGTGTACTGTTTGATACGGAAACACCATTTTTACGAAGGTGTGAAGAGTTAATCTAGCTGTGTTTGCTTTTGCAAGAGAACTACAATGTTTTGATTATTGGGTGACAGGTTTTCTTATTTGTGTGAAGAGTTTTGCAAAATTAGCCAATACCCATATGGAAAAGAAATAGTAAAAACTTATATGTGATTACTCATGAAAGTGGCCACTTTCATGAGTAAATCATATAAGGCTTACATGATTTACTCATGAAAGTGGCCACTTTCTCATTACTTTCATACATTGTTTTAGTAAGTATCCAAAACATACAAGTTTCATTATATAATTTTTCAAGGGATCTTATATCTGTTTTCACTCTTATATGCTTTTCATGCAAGTTTCACAAGACAGATACAAAATTTACAAGATTTATATATATCTTTTCCATATGGGTAGTTACAAAAAATGTGCTTAAGCAATCAGAAAAAACTGTAACAGAAATTCGGTTTGGAATTACTCAGAAGTATGTGTAGTTACATGTTCATACAAGTTAATTTATTTATATAAAAAGTGAATTCAAACTGGTAGTACGAGGTGGTTAGTTTGTGATATTATTCATTACTGTGACCTTAATTTTCTGCTCATGTATTTAAATTTGTATCCCTGTGGCAGGCGGGGTCACACACTGGCCTTAACATTATGCATATGATTGGGTAACAATAGCAAATTATAGCCTGAGTTGTTTGTGTTTGTTTGTTTGTTTTGTTTTCAAGGAAACATGTAAATTTCTTTTGTATTTTAATTAGAGGGAGGATTTCAGATCGGGTGGGCCCCGCTAGGTTTTCTGTTTTTTAAATGGGCTGCAGCACTCTTGACTTTGGGAGTGGCTGTTCTAAAGCATCGTTTTCTCACTGATGGCAGTTTGTTCTTGGATCCTGATGATGTCAAAGAGTGCGGATATCCTTAATATGTTGTGGTGGAAGATTCTGTCTGTTTTAATTTGATATGGCTGAATGGAAGGCTCCATAGCATCACGTCTTTATAGAATCCTCTATTACAAGATATACTCGACTGTTGTTTTGTCTGATTGTATTCTGTAATCACGGCGGGTATATACCTTGTTTCTATAAATGATTCTGTGTTTGCTATTATTATTTTCTGTTAAAAGCCATGCAGACGGTTGTTGCGCTCTGCATTGTTCTTTGACCTCTTTGCAAATGCAAATTAAAATCTCTTCTACATTCTGATGCTCAATTTAAACTCAGCAGGCCACTGGATGGCTAAATAGATGTTTGTATTAACAATCAGTTAAACAGGTGTTGAACCTACGCCCAGTGCTCCGACATGCCCTTGGATCATGTCCATGCAACAACCAATCTCCTCTCAAATAAATCACACAGGCGGACAGATCCAAGTTTTTTTAGGCTAAAGGTCGTTTAAATATTTTTGCGCTTCTACCCTAGGTTTTGTGGTAGTGCGTCTTTTTCGTTGGTGATTATTGTTAAACAGAAAAGAAACAACCTTCCATAAATGTATTTTTGATATTTTTAAAACACTATTATCGATCACTATTAGATTGTATCGTGCATTTTAATAGTGAAACAAACAAGAAACAAACAGAGGAAAGCGCAATTTCCCATATAACGCCATCATAGTCGACTTTCTTCAGCAAGGTGATAGTCAAAGTAAATTTACAGTCTAGTGAAATTATGCTTGTAGTAAAGGTCAAAATTCACCAAAGGAGAAAAACTACCAAAAAATTTAGGGTAGAAGCGCAAAAAAAATTAAGCGCGGTGTAACACAAACGCAGTAAAGCTAAAACAAACCTCTGCAGGAAAACAGTAAAGTCGAAACTTGCTCCCTTTAAAAAAAATCGCACTTTTAATTAGTTTAAGTCTGAAACTATACTGCAGAATCTGGGTAAATCTTCCAGAAAATAAACTATACTTTAAATAGTGCTAAACTTCTGCAGAGATCTCCACGCCAGCTCTGACGAAGGTATTCGCTGTGCAAAAGAAGAAGCGTATTTTCTATACACTTTCAAAACATCTGAGCACAGACGCATAACTGGGAGTGGCCTGCATGTCTTCAGATTTTCTTCTCTGTCTTAAAAACAAAACTTACCGAGGCGGATGGATTCAATTACTGTTTTACTAAATCCGGTTAATCTTAAGCACGTTGTTCGCTCTCTCAGACTCCAGACCCCTTCCCGATCAATGCGCGTCATGACGAAGTCTGCGCAGACTCTGTTCTGTTCAGCTCTCTGCTGGAATATATTTTGGTAAATAAGCACCAATGTTACCGAGTGACTGCAGTAGTAAAACTGTTGAATCCAGCTAATGTAATGCTAAATGATGTCCGGCAGAGGGCGCTGAAACCGTCTAACAGGCTGACACGGGCTAAGCAGGTGCGTTAGGGTAAACAAAAGTCCAGATGTGGGATAGTACAGATTTTTTACATCCATGTCCGGATATTGAGATAATACCCCACATTTTAATTGTCTTTAGTTTACACTATTCAGCACAACACACAAATCTCAAAGTAAACCTTAGAATGTACCTGCACATGTGATGTGACAATAAAAGTGATTTGATTTGGTTTGAAAAAACATCTATGAGTTCTTCCCACTGAAATTAAAAGTTGATACTCAGAATAGAAAAATAATTTTGAAATGATAGTTAATCCACAGAGACTTCGGACATTGGGCAACTAAAAATTTTTTTTCGATTTCTTTTATCAGCAGAAGATTTTTCAGCTGTCCTGATAGGATCAGTTAGATTTTTCACAAAATAAACTTGCATTAAACTTACAGTTTCTGAAAAAAGGCCTTTCTATGCTTATCTCATTATTTGCAGTGCTTAATATCATCAAAAGATTCAGAGAGGCTGCCTCAAGCAGCACATGCAGTGATTTCCATGATTGATCCTGTCATGAAAATCACTGCATGTGCTCAGGTGCACTTGCAGGCCTTTCACCTTTCAGGTTGAAAAGACTTATTGCACCATCAAACAAAAAATACACAAAAACTACACTGTCCCAACAATATTCCTCTCCCAGAAGCACAGCAACGGGTCTGTTCCCAAACATTTAACAGCAGTTTCCAAAAGAAGTGGGGATGCTACACTGGCCCAAGTGTTCTGAGACATGTTGCTGCCAGGAAATTTAAACTGACATTTTTTCCCCCTCAAAGTTCAAACATTTGATGTTTTTTGTGCTGTGCTGTGAAAAAACTATAGAATCATTGCATTCAGTTCTTATTTATATTCTACTCTGCATCACAGCGTCTCTGGAATTGGGACAACATTTTATGATAATTTTTTTATTTTAATCTTCAAGTTAGATCAAAAGAAGAGGGCAGAGTCCAGTAGTTCATTACAACCACCAGAAAAAAAATTGTGAAAAAAAGTGAAAAAGGAAAAACTGAGTTATGTAAAAATACTTGGAACAGTTGCTATAATTTCCCCCTTCACTCTTTCCTGATAGCATCTGTATTTTGGAGATATGATGCAATGAAATGAAAGTGTATGCAGCAAGGACACAAATGACTCCACTTCTGAGTTGAGCATTATTGTGATTTAATTCACTATGTCTTATATCACAAAGAAAGTCTTTAAAAATGCAGACTAGAATTTCTGTATATAAACTGTACACAAAAAGCAAGGCACTATACAATCAGATTCTTCAAGCTGCTGTTTCTCTCCTAATGAAACTCTCAGGTGCCCAATAGACCAGGGTCACTTCAGCAGTTTTGAGCAATATGAGTTACCTATGAGGCCTGGCAGCATCCAGACAGTGTGGACAGAAGAAGTGACGACTTTCCTTACAACATCTGACACGACAGGACTCGTTTTTACATAGATACAAAGTCACAGGCGCACCTACACACAGTTTTACACAAATTAACGTTGCACACAAACATTATATACAGTCGCACACATACACAACCACAGCATGGCACTCTGACAACAAGCGTCCAAGTCTTTTTCTTTGACGAGTCCATAAGCGGTGATTTTAGTGCTATGACACACATAAAAGCCATGTATGCAACAAAGCCAGGTGTCTTTTTTTTTAACCTGCTTGTTATACCGCTTGAATTTCATTTTGTTAAGTAACGACAAAGTTGAGAAGTAAAACATCACTATAAGCGAGGCGAGTGCATCTCCAGTCTCATTCTCCTCGTATCAGATCAAAAGCAGGTTCATCTCTCTGCGGCTTCTTCTCGCATCTCCCTCTCGACTGTCCTCTCTTGTACCTCTTCACGTACCAACTCCTATTAAAAACACGATTAAAACAGTCCTTTGGCCTTCTTTAAGTTCACTTGCTTCCACCCTGGCAGACGTTCATATTCCTCTCTCTTCACCTCCAAAGCTTTCTGGGGTCAGAAAAAGAGACAAACGTTTCAGAAGAGAACACAGGCAATGCGATAGGATCATCACTGAATGCCAAGCACAGCCTCAGAGAGGAGAGATGGCAATTTAACTCTAACTAATAATGGTTCAACATGATCAATATTGTTGTTCGGTGACAAAATTCAGCCTTTGTTTTATACTAACACACCCTGAATGTGTTAAGTTTTATTAGCAGGTGCATTTGATGAAACACTGACTGTCAAAGTACCAAAAAATATAATTTGATAAAAGTCTAAGACAGGAAACATTTAAATGTCTCTCTTATCATGTTTAGTTTCAGTCTTCTTGTGTAGGTATGCCTTTTTCCTACTTCCTGTTTTACTCTGAAGGTTAGTTTATTCACATGATCACTGATTTTGCTTCCTAATTCTATCCTTTGTGCCTATCTGCCCAACCCTAATTAGATCAAGCTGTTTTAAGCATCCACAGCTTTATGTTTGCATAAAAGCTTCTTCTGATGTCCGATGTGCCCTACGTCGGTCTCTGTGGATGCAAATCCTTTCTCCTTCCTTGTTATTCAGCCTCACATCCCACTTCTTCTTTGCAAACCTCTTCCTTGGAATACTCTTCTCTGTTTCCTGTATCCTTGTTCTCTTTCCTGTGTCCAGATGATAGACCAAACACCTTTTTGGCTGGCTATCTATCTATGAAAATTCAGGAGATCAGCGTCTTTAGAAGTGCTCAAATCACCTGATCAATCATGTTTGATTGAGTGAAGCTCCAGCGCCATATCTGCAGGATGTTGTCCTTTGCACTTTGCACTGGATCATTTCATGGATAAACAGATGAGTAGGTGCTTAGTGATTATACATTTTTTGGTACTTTCACAGTGAGATGTTTCAGAGCGCACGATTTTCAGAAAAGTTCAGTTTAATATAAATAGGAAAACAATATTTTCAAATATTTTCTTGTACAATCACATCTGCTAATTCACTGATTCTCTAACATGACGTGATATCTTGTGCCCTGTGGGGAAACAAATCAACTCCATCCAGTGTTGGTGTTTTTTCATGCCTCCATGTTGTGCTCCACAGACAGATAGTGAGTCAGACTGCAGTGCAGATAACAGTGAATCACTAAAGAGCATTTATTTGCACTGAGAGGAAAGGTAGAAGTTGTGTGCGTGCGTGCAAAGAGAAAAGCTGCAGGAGCAGAGAAGTATGGAAGGAGTGCGGCGTGGTCGGAGAGATAAACTGCAGCTGCGCAGATAAAACCTGTCAATTACCACAAGAGCATAAACACATCATTTCAAAGTCTAAACCCACTCCCACCAAGGAAAACATCAAGAGATAAGCGACCTCTTAACTCACTAGGATGTAACTAATTATTATTAATTATAACATTACATAAAACCCATAATTTCCTGATGGCTTTTTTCTATACAATATTAGTAAATAGTGACAAATAATCCTGATGCGATTCTGAGCAATACTGGGTGTTTACAGGTACAGAGAATATATATTTAAGGCTTTTAATACTTTTTACTACTTTATATACAATTTGAGACCAAACATACAATGAAAATATACGTCTATCCAGGCTGAGTTTAAGAACGCCTGCTAGATGTGTTTATTAATATTAAAATAACATGAAAATCTCACGTTTTTTCTAAAACGAAATCCCATTCTCCTCCGTCTGAAGCAAACTAAATGCAGAGTTTAGATTTCTTTCCGGCCACTAGCTTCAACATCGATGACTAACCATCCTTGTCAAGCTATTGACAGGTCATCGTCATCATCATCTTTAGGGTTTTCACTGCTGTAAAAATGGCACCTCACTTGGTCTAAGAATTTTGTATTTTTAAGATGTGCAGGTATGAGTTAAAGGTAGCCTACAGTGGATTTACCATTATGGGCACACCCTGAATGAACTTGAAAAGTTTAGCCTATCTATAAATCACGTCCTACATAAGATCATTTAGGAAAAAGAAAATAATGTAATAATTTTTAAGTCCTGTATGTAGGATATTTAAGGAGTTGTAAACTATGAATGTTTTATGTCATTTATAATAAGAAGGACTTTAGAAGCACATTAGAGTTATAGCTTCAACTCTGAGGTATTAACTGAAGTGTATAAAAGTACACACTTACAGCATATACCAATCAAATCCTGAATTCTCTGACTGATTCAAGTGGTCAGTTGTAACTTTTCATCTTTTCTCCCAGCAGAGATGGAAGCTAATTTTGGATCATGTGTCATTTTGTATTTGTTGTCTCCTGTGTGAAGGAGTTGAAGTGCCAAGTCCTTTGTGATTGCAGCTTTTATAAAGTACTGTCTAACAGCGTAATGGTGTTTCTGGATGATCTTTTCAGACATAATCGTGCAGCCAAGCACAACCTTTCCTCCTCGACCAGCACCACACTCAAGAGACAGGAATGATTTTTTTTAAACACAGCGCTGACGTGCTCGAGAGAAGGACGGGTCGTCAGTGCGGATGAGTCACACGAGCATCTCTTCTTACCTGAATCCACCTACAAACTGGTCTGTAAAGTGAGAGTTAGATGGTGTTAGATGGATTTTAATGACTGAGGGTTAGTTACTGTGTACAGTTCTGGTTTTCCACCATTTATACTTGTTGATGTACCTGCTACATAACTGCTCAAATCACTGATGTGAATCACTGAGGTTATTTTTGTTTGTGCCAATAAAAAAAACAGAAAGAGAAAATATGCACCAGATAAAATTGGCTGAGATCTATTTCAGAATTGTCTGTTTGTGCATCTTTGCAGCACTTCCAGTGTTGCTGCTGTTTTGTCTTTGCTTTCTGGAAGCTTCATTCTGTAAGTATATCTGCATGTATGCTTCTCAAAATGATGGAAGAGGACAAAGACGAAAAAGAGGCAAAACTGGAGAGATTAGCAGGTGATTTTGCTGGTGTGGCTCCTTTCAATTGTCTGTCTGTGGCCTCACATTCAGGCTTTTTGCACTGAAAGTCCTCTCACAGAGGCCTCAGGACTTTACACCTGAACTGTGCACAGCCACTCTCATCCTGGGGACGATCCTCCTGTTTAGCCTCCAGGTTACAGACCGAAACTCAAAACTTGTAAGACAGGACAGATTGACAAAGAAGTTGTCTGCTGTCTATGTAAGCCTGAGGCTGATGGTGAAATTGCAAATGCACACTTGTAAATGGCCAGGGAACTTCCAGGGAACAAACCAAACAGATACAGTTTTTGCTTTTTATAGGTACAGTCAGGCAACATTTTCCTGTTTGCCACAGTGTTAAAATGTCATCAGCTACATTTTCCTTCTCATCAATAAAAGATAACCAAGTGAAAATGTCACTTCAGAAAAAATGCCTCACTGTGTCAAAAAGCTGCTACTATAGATATTACACTTCTACTTTAATTAGGTCACAGGTAAGTCATGTGACTAATCTGATTTCAACTGAGCTGTCATTGCAATCAGATTTAAAAGTTATAAAAAAAAAATCTGGTAAAAGGAAAGAAACATGCTGATTTTTTTTTTTTTTTGACTAAAACGCTGCCAACAAAAACTTCAAAGCAAAAGTAACATAGTTTTTCTTCACTTTACTGACCTCAAAGTCCTGGTCAGACAGGTAGAGCTCCAGGCAGAGTGGGTCAACTCCCTCTGGCAGCGGCCGGGCCTGCAGCTGAGCCAGAGGGAAGGTGTTCTGACAGAGCCGGGCCAACACGTCCTCCACCAGGATGATCTGGTTACACACCTCCGCCTCCTGCAGCCACAACAGAGCATGCACAGGCTCCTTTGTAGTAATTGTGAGAAACCGCTTTGTATCAGTGAGGAAGGAAAAATATAGCATAATCTAAATGTTAATCACATTTTCCACTTTGGATGAGGGCATATAAAAAGGAAGAAAGGAAGTTTTATTAAATTTTTTAATTTTTTTTTATGTGGGACGGAAAAGATGTTTTAAAAGAAGGATGAAGGGAGTCAGAATAGCTTGTTTCGGACATGAAACTGACCTGAGGGGGTGCAAGGCTGAGTATAAACTAAATATGAATTACTTTGAACATGAATAAGGAAAGCCATTGCAGTGAAGTCCAAGAGAAAAAGTATAGGATAACAATATGTCTTGCTCACTTTCTCTGTAATCTCAGCCACGTCCTCTCTGTGCTCCCAGCTGGGAAACATGTTGGTGAAGGTGAGCGGCTCCAGGCCGGCGTGGATCAGGTATGACTTCTGAGGCTTCTTCTCATTCCTCTCTGCAGGAGAAAATCAGCACAAGGTTCTCATTAAATCACACATTAACCTTTTCCTAATGTTTTTCTTTTCTGCTTTTAAAGTTTCTGGATGTTTGCCTCACGTTTGCAGTACTGCAGCACAGTCTCCATCGCGCACTTCCTGTCTGCATCCCAGCGGATATGAGCAGAGCCAGTCCTCTCGCTGTCCTGAGGCCACCAGCCCTGCCACAGGTAAACCTCATGGAAGTTATCCACCAGGAACAAAGCTGTGCCAGAGACATAAGATACAGTAAGAAATATGCGGTGTAATCTGCATACTGTATGTTCTGGATTTGTAGTTACGCATCTACATTTTAAAGTGTCCCCCCCCCCCCCCAAATGATCCTTTAAGTCTGTGCGAGCATCAGTGTGAGGATAAAAAAGACAATGAGATTTGAAAGTGTGTCTTTCATTTTGCAAAAAATCAGTTCCTAAATAACATCTCTTCATCTTGTTTTTGCAAGGATGTGAGAAAGAGATGATGGGATGAAGCTATTTTTATATCCTCACTCTCTCTGGCACCATCTTGGACAGATACAACTGATCTCATTCTAAAACACTGACATGTTCTAAAGGTTCAGGTTGTAGAAATGTACATAGGTGTATATTTTACTCAAATGACACAAGATCAAACTAAATGAAAAGAAAAACAACCTTTGAGCTGAGATGATGAATATGAATACTCTTGCACATTAGAGCTCCCACAGTACAGTTTATGCATGTATTTTGTCCACAAATAATTCAACATAATTAAAATAAAACTGTTTTCATAACAGCTCAGCTGCTCATTTTATTCCCCAGCAGTCAATAAAAACATTGGTCTTCATTCACAAACAGTGTGTTCTCACAAATCTGTTCTTAACTGTGCAGATGAACGAATGACGCACAAACCCTGAATCGTCCAAAAAATGAACAGTAATGAATTGTGGAAACGAATAAAGAATTACATAAATGCACATACATCAGACAGATATGCTTCACCACTTTTTCTACCTCTAGGAAGGTTCCCTATATCCAATCACTGGATACTTTATTAGGTACAGTGGGGCAAAAAAGTATTTAGTCAGCCACCGATTGTGCAAGTTCCCCCACCTAAAATGATGACAGAGGTCAGTAATTTGCACCAGAGGTACACTTCAACTGTGAGAGACAGAATGTGAAAAAAAAATCCATGAATCCACATGGTAGGATTTGTAAAGAATTTATTCGTAAATCAGGGTGGAAAATAAGTATTTGGTCAATAACAAAAATACAACTCAATACTTTGTAACATAACCTTTGTTGGCAATAACAGAGGTCAAACGTTTACTATAGGTCTTTACCAGGTTTGCACACACAGTAGCTGGTATTTTGGCCCATTCCTCCATGCAGATCTTCTCGAGAGCAGTGATGTTTTGGGGCTGTCGCCGAGCAACACGGACTTTCAACTCCCGCCACAGATTTTCTATGGGGTTGAGGTCTGGAGACTGGCTAGGCCACTCCAGGACTTTCAAATGCTTCTTACGGAGCCACTCCTTTGTTGCCCGGGCGGTGTGTTTTGGATCATTGTCATGTTGGAAGACCCAGCCTCGTTTCATCTTCAAAGTTCTCACTGATGGAAGGAGGTTTTGGCTCAAAATCTCACGATACATGGCCCCATTCATTCTGTCCTTAACACGGATCAGTCGTCCTGTCCCCTTGGCAGAAAAACAGCCCCATAGCATGATGTTTCCACCCCCATGCTTCACAGTAGGTATGGTGTTCTTGGGATGCAACTCAGTATTCTTCTTCCTCCAAACACGACGAGTTGAGTTTATAGCAAAAAGTTCTACTTTGGTTTCATCTGACCACATGACATTCTCCCAATCCTCTGCTGTATCATCCATGTGCTCTCTGGCAAACTTCAGACGGGCCTGGACATGCACTGGCTTCAGCAGCGGAACACGTCTGGCACTGCGGGATTTGATTCCCTGCCGTTGTAGTGTGTTACTGATGGTGACCTTTGTTACTTTGGTCCCAGCTCTCTGCAGGTCATTCACCAGGTCCCCCCGTGTGGTTCTGGGATCTTTGCTCACCGTTCTCATGATCATTTTGACCCCACGGGATGAGATCTTGCGTGGAGCCCCAGATCGAGGGAGATTATCAGTGGTCTTGTATGTCTTCCATTTTCTGATGATTGCTCCCACAGTTGATTTTTTCACACCAAGCTGCTTGCCTATTGTAGATTCACTCTTCCCAGTCTGGTGCAGGTCTACAATACTTTTCCTGGTGTCCTTCGAAAGCTCTTTGGTCTTGGCCATGGCGGAGTTTGGAGTCTGACTGTTTGAGGCTGTGGACAGGTGTCTTTTATACAGATGATGATTCAAACAGGTGCCATTCATACAGGTAACGAGTGGGGGACAGAAAAGCTTCTTACAGAAGACGTTACAGGTCTGTGAGAGCCAGAGATTTTCCTTGTTTGAGGTGACCAAATACTTATTTTCCACCCTAATTTACGAATAAATTCTTTACAAATCCTACCATGTGAATTCATGGATTTTTTTTTCACATTCTGTCTCTCACAGTTGAAGTGTACCTTGGTGCAAATTACTGACCTCTGTCATCATTTTAAGTGGGGGAACTTGCACAATCGGTGGCTGACTAAATACATTTTGGCCCACTGTATACTCAGCTAGTAGTGGGTTAAACAAGACGCTGAAAACATTCAGAGATTTTGGTCCATATTGATAATGACAGCATCACACAGTTGCTATAGATTTTAAATGAGGTGGATGGCATATCTATCTAAAACACTCCTGTTTCCTCACTCGAAGCTTATGGAGCAAGGATGGATGGAAGCTTTAACTAGAAGAATATAAATCCCCACCCGCCAAACGTTTGTGTTTCAGTCTCACCAGGTTGAGGTGCATTGTACAGATCTTCCTGCAGGAAAGGCAGCGAGCTGACCAGGTCTGGAGCTCTGGACGGGTGGAAAAACTCATTTGCTACAAAATCTCCAGATGTGCTGCTCAGCTGGAAGAGCCGTGGGGTGAAATTGAATTTTCCTGGATCTGACAAACAACAAGATACATCATCCTTCTTCAGATGATGACCAGTGTAGGTGTGGAGAGCTTTAGACTACACCTCATGATTTAATATTTTGTTAAACATTGGAAAAAAAAATCAAACCTGTTATTTCTGATTTCATTTATATATTTTTGATAAACAATTGTTGTTATTGTTAATTCCTAAAAAAATAAAAATACTGCAGTTTGTGAAATACTCTAAAATCTTATATTGTAGAGTAAAGAGCATTAGGTCTTTACATTAAAACAGTCATTCCCAAATTCAAGAATCCTGTGACCTCTTTAAAAACCAAAAAATCCCATGAAGCCCACCCAATCTTAAATCTTCAATTCAAAACACAAGAGAAAGTGATGCATTTCTTTGAATGTTTTAATACTAAAAAACAAAAAACACAAGCTGTTGACTATGAACTGCTAATGCTACCCAGTCATATGCATAGTCACACTGAGCTCATGTGTTATGACTAATGTGTAACCCACCTGGCACTGGGACACAAAATTCAATGCATAAGCATAAAATTTAGGTCAGAGTAATATTTGCAATAACACAAACTAACTGTCTTTTATTACCAGTTTTGATTCACTTTTTATATAAACGAATATAAATATGTAACTGTACATACTTGTGAGCAATTTCAAACTGAGTTTCTGTTATTACTGTGGACCACCTGCAATACCGGGCCCACAATTTGAGAATCACTGCCCTACAGTAAAAATCACATTGAGGCTTGAGTTGGTTATAAATAAAATAAAATTGAACTAAATTGTTATTAAGCCATCATAAGGGCTTTTAAAAAGGTTAAAATTTGACCTACAGATAATATATTCATGCACTTTATTGTGCAATGTACAAGAATGCAAAAGAGCAATTTTACTGTGTGGTAGTATAAGCAAGTATGCTGTATGAATTTTATTGTATGTAGTGAATTCATAATGTGAGCTAAACAAGATATTTTTAACTTTACTAGAAATGATATCAGTTATAATTACAGTTACTGCTGCAGCAGTGTGGCAATGGTAGTATAAGTGATGCTAGGAAACAACAATGGTGTTATAACAATGCATTGTTAAGCAAATTTCAGACAAGCTGAGTCTATGGTGTCAACATATAAAAACGCTGTTTCCTGTACCTTGAAGCATGCAGTCATAGGCTTTCCTGTCTTTTCTCCCCAGAGCCTCCCAGAAGCCTGGAGGCTCCACCCCCTCATCACACTCATGGATGGTCACTTTGCTGCTGCTGTGGAGACCTGCTTCCAGAGGACATCTGAAAGCAGCAAAGAGAGAAATGATATTCAATTCTCAGATGAGAGTGTAAAATGAGGAAACACTGTCTTTATAAACACTCACTGCTCCTTTATCTTAAGAGCGGCCGTGTTTCCAACACTGCGGGTGTGCAGCTGCGTTTTGCAGCCGTGCCACAGGTAGATGATGGCCTTGTTGATGTTGAGCAGGATCATGGAGGCTCTAGAGCGAAGACTGCTGCAGTGACAAGCCACCTCCAGCAGGTGGCCCTCCACCGGCACTTCACCACGCACACAGTAAAGACGCCACTCACCTGATTAGAGCAGGTAAGCGTGAGTGACAGGAAGTTTTTATCCTTAATCCTTAATCAGCAATCCAACATAAATCATATTATAACAACAACAATTTATTTTCTTTATTTAATACCAATATTAAATAATAAAAAATAATATAATATAATAACAATATATAAAGGTAAATAGAATAAAAAACGGAAAAGTCCAAATATTTACTCTGAGTGTTCTCCTCCTCCTCCTCCCTTTTGCCTGCATGGACGATCATTCCTCCATTGAAGCACTGCAGGAAACATGCCGGCTCCTTTCCTTGCTGCACCTGCATCTGTAACACACAGTGGTCAAATTACTCTGTTAAAGTCAAGATTACAAATGTATGCACTGTCCATCTTTCTGTACATGTGTACATGTGCGCGTCATAAAGAGAACATTGTACAAAACTTTCATTCTTAGCCATCTTAATGCCGTCGTAATCTCCTGTGATGAACGATTCAATGGAAGCGGGCTAGTGTGTTACTTCAGTAGCATTTCATAACATCAGCCTTCACCGCAGAGCTGATAATATGTTTTTAAACACTGACTGCCTTGTCTCTTGTACCTGTGCCCCTCTCTCCTCATCCAGCTCCACCGTCATCAGTGCTGACGTCCCCTTCTCGCTGACAGTGGAGTGTCGCCCCTGCCAGAAGAAGTAGCAGCATTTCTCCTTCCCGGGCCCACTGCTCCTTGCCTCTGGGTTCTGCCTGCGACCAACTAGGGCCAAAATACAGAAACAGACAACAAAAGGATCAATAAACCACTCTAAAACTACTCTTTTCACTACACAACAAAAAACGTTTACATCTTTTTGAGTGAGGTGGTGTTGTAATGAATTATCAGAGCTCACCTACCTGTTTGTGTGCCATAAAGCACACAAATGCAAAAAGTCAAGTAGATCATTTTTTACCATGTCAGAATATGACTAGAGACCAACCTGAGGTGCTGACCATGTACTTCCACTTGACCACATATGCGTCCCCCTCGTGGAACTGGCCTATGCTCTGGCGTGGCAGACGGCTGTAATCAAACTCCAGGATGTGCCAAACGTCCACAGAAACTGTGACGATCTGCTGAGTCCTCATGGAGTCCTCTGATTCCACTCGACCGTGGCCACGCCCGACATTCACCCCATCCAAAATCATGGAAACTGATGACTGCAGGACAGGCAGCATTAGGGTGGCATCGTAAGGCCGGCACTCTCGCCTTGGAGCCTCCTGGGAGAAAGATTGCAGATAGGATTAGAATCAAATGAAATGTTAAGATGTGATAGCGAAAACTGAGCCAATAGGCAAAATAAGGCACTTTGACACACTAATGCTTCATACAGCATCTAACCAAAGGCATATCCGCTCTAATTCCTGGTCCCAGTGTGTAATAAACTGTTCCTGACAAAATGAACTAAGCCTGACTGAGACAGCCCAACAAATAAACAGATGGGGAGATAAAGTCGATATATGAGGCTTCTCTGATGTGGATAATCTCTGGAATAAAGCTATTTATCCTCATACAACAAGAGCCTGATTTGCACCTTCTGCTCAGGTACAAGCTCGCAGCCTTCCTTTGGCGTTGGGGACTTTACTTCAGTCCAATCCACGAACTTCTCCTTGAATAAGATTGTCTCATTGTGCTCTGTCAGCCTGCCGAATATTGCCCAGTCAGGACGGCCCTGGCCCTTCCTGTGGAGAAGAGCGTGGTTAAAAAAAAAGAGTAAAAGGACGTTAAACTTCATGAAACCAAAAGCCTTTTAAAAACTAAGAAATAAAGTTGATCATTTTAAAACACTATGCATTTTTGTTGTTCGATTGAGGCCAGAAGTAAAAATGTGAAGCAGGCATGTGTATTCTCACCTGGGTATGAGTTTGTTGCAGCCTCCGGGGTCCAGAGGGTTCACGTCACAGCACGTGTAGTCAAACGTCCCGTTCCACAGGTGTTTAGCCAGCTGGAAGGCCACCTTCCTTTGGGCCAGAGTCACCTCTTTACCGTGCCACACATACACCTCACTGCCAAAATCAAACACCAAAACCTGCAGCACAGAAAGCACAACAACCACAGACACCCAGTTAGCACTGCTTCAAACTTAATAAACCCCTTTTAAGTTACATATGGAGAAAATCATCTATATTATATGCAATAACACATGTAGTGTTGTTATATAAATCCCAGAAATAAGAAGTAAAATACAAAAAACTCAAAAAACAATCACTGCAAACATGTTTTAACCTCTGTGTACTGTGGTGAGCTATATATAACTCACCACAGTAAATTTTACTAAAGCTTAAAGTTTGCATTTTGAGGAGCACGACTGCTTTGACTGACAGTCACTGAACTGGATTTCTCATATGAATTTGCAGCTTTATTCCCTTTTTTAAGCATTTTAATGGAAAAATCTAGCAGATTATATGGTCTGCTGTTTGCTATAGACCAAGAACATCAAACTTATTTTATATCGAGGGCCCTATATAGCCCACTTTGAACTTAACCAGATCAGTGAAACTCTTCTTTCTGTCAATGTAAAGATGTTTAACTACACATTTAATCCCTGAGATCTGTTAATATGAGAAGTGCAATTTCAACAGTATTACTCGATTGTTCTATGTGATAAAGAAATGCTGTCGTATTAAATGTATGTCAACAAAATAAATAAATTAATATGTAAAATTATGGGAAAAGTTCTGGTAGCTTATTGACCAGATTATCCTGTAATTATAATGCAGAAAGATTTGTAAATTCATAGAATGATTTGTTTGTTTAACTGTGGACCTAGTCTAAAAAAACAAAACAAAAAGAAGAAGAAATTTTTCTAGTATAAAAAAAACCTTTTCTGCAATTTAATTGTTTATTTTTTACATAATTACTCTGGCGCAGTATGAATAGATGTGGTGGAGGTATTTATCAGTAGAATAATATGTTAACTATGCTGAAAATACAATTAAAAGTCTAATAAAATGATTGTCTCCTTCACATTTCCCAAAGTTGCCCAGTGAGCTGGATCAGAGTCTTTGACATTATGTTTGACACTCTTGCAAGAGACAATCCAAGAAGTGTGTGCATCACTTTAGTGACTGAAACTCTTGCCCCTTTGTATGTTACTTAGTTCAAATTTGCAGGTGTCTGTGCAATATACAGTGGATGCATGCAGCTTGCCAACTAAGTGTAAGCTGATAGCTTGACGGTCTCCAAAAATAGTCCTTTCTAGCTCCAGAAAGTTAGCATAGGTTCAGTCCCTGTAAATTCAGGACAGTGAATCTCCAGCTTCTTTTTATTTTGCATCTCATATAAAGTTTGCATCAGAAATTCTTTCTCTGATCCACCACCACCACCTTCTAGACTCCAGAGAGTCCATTCATTATCTTTGACCTTCATCTACAGGTCTGCTTCTTATTTTTTTAGAAGAAACTTTGATTTCTTCCATGTAATATTTCTCTTCTGTAATACAGTGGTTTGCATTCTCATGTGGCACATGTGACAGAAATGCTGAAAAGTGTCCCATTCACATGCAAACCAAAAATAAAGCTAAACTACACCAGTGATGAAATCCTATTTCCTCTCCGTTCATGAAATCTTTCCAAGTTCAGAAAGCGGAAACGTGAAATTCTGCTGAAAATTTAAAAGCAGCTATCAAAATTATAATGAGGCTTTTATAGATCACCTCCTTGGATGTCAGGAGGGAGCTGCGTGGGACCTTCCCCCACTCATCATCATCAGGAACCAGCTTATCATCCTGCAGTCTGAAAATACAGTTGGTTTCCACGATGGCATTCTCAAACTGCTCGTCCTCCTCTGCTGGACCCGCCGCTACAATTAAACATAGTAACCGAAAATGTTAAGATATTATCAACGCAAGTGTGTGCAGTGGTTCAAACGCACAGACAAAAGCTTATGTCTTACACTGATATGCCATCTGTCCACCGAGGACTGACCAGAACTCCTGAGTATCTGGACTCTGTGGGTTCACCCCTTCTTCGATGGTCTGCACCTGGTTCCCCCTGCAGCCCATGTCCTTATTTGTCTGGATGAATGTGGCCAAATCGTTTGCCTGCATTCACAAAAGAAAAAGAATCATCTTATCAGCTATTAAATATGATAGATTTCAGTTTCATGGGCTAGATTCTGTTTTAATCTGCATGCATAGACGTAAACATGGAGGCCAATGAAGTGTAAGCAGATGACAAAGAGGAAACTTTTTAATCCTGTGTGTGGATGTGGAATCTGAGCCTGGAGCGGTGTGGATGTTACATGAATGGTTTCCCTGAGAGAGTTTTCCAAACTTTTAGGATGTGGAGGCTCACTTAACCACTACTGTCAGCATCTCTTAACTTAACAAGGCTCTAGTAGAGAGACACAACGCTCAGCTCGCTCATCTCCCCGGGACAGAGTTGAGTTATCTTGGTGACGACTGGAGTAGTGTAAATTTTGGGTTACTGTTCAAACTAAGGTCAAATTAAGTGAAGAAAATCAGACCTGTATCTAACTTAGTAACACATACAGAAGCTGTGTCAATGATGATAAAAAAAAAGACTAGACATGTGATTTGCTGTTTAAACTGACAAGAATAAAGTAGATCTGAGTCGCATATAAAGAAAAATAAAGAGTAAATGTAACCATATCCTCACCATGATGTTGATGTAGACAACAAATAAATTTAGCTTATTTAATACCCCTCAGAAGTAAGAGGTGAAACTTCATAAGAATGTCAAATATTAAAGTCAACAACAAAAAAAGTCATACTAAAGAGATTTGGTCGACTGTTTCTTGGCTCTTCATGCATAAAATCACAATAAAGTGTGTAAAGATCACAGAGAAGAAAAACAAATGTTTATTAAAAACTGTCTAGACAGACGTCCTTTGGGAAAATGGAGAGGCTGAAAACGTGTTTGATGAGGAGCAGATGGGCATATGTGCCAGTTGGTGTGTGCGCAGAGAATGAAAGTTAAATAATCAATGAATCTTTTTTTTTCAAACACCAGTATGGCTACTGTAGCTCTGACCACACCAGACAGAGTGGTAACACTCACCTTCGCCTTCTCAATAACGTTTGAGAACTCTCCCATCCAAACAAAGCAGTGCTCTGGAGTGACCAACAGGAAACAATCCCCGCTGTTCAGAGACGACGCTCTGGGCTCCACTAGTCTGGTCTGAACATGACGACGACCTGCAAGAAATATGAAGCCACTTTAATTCATTTTCTCCGTAGATTTATCATAGATGTTCTGCTTGAGGCAAAACTTGTGTAGCGCCTTTGAGTATTTTACAAGGACAGATGGAAACGACAATTTGTGTGACCCTTCTTTTCTTATTGGTGGATTATCACAGGAGCAAAAGCCTGACTACACGTTGAGATGACCAAATCAACATATGAAAAACAGACTTATTATTCACAGATAGCTCTGTTGATGTATCATCATTAAAATGCAGATTACAGCCTTTAAAAAAGATTCTGTTTTGTATACAGCAATTTCCCCTTTTGTTTGTTGCTGTACATACAAAACTCAATATTTTATAATAATAGTATTATTTATTTATTATTCGAGGCATGACCACTTTTGACTTTCTTGAGGCTACCAACCTAGACGCCTACAGCAAGATGTCTGCTTCACCTCAATCACTTCATGTTTAAATCACTGGACTGAATACTGTGAAACATTAAAATTAGGGGTGTGGTTGCCACAGCAGGTGGTGGTGCTGACACAGCTGAGAACTATCTGCTAATTCAACCCTCTTAGTGCCTTTTGAAGCCTTATTAATACAATTACATTCAATTGCTGAAATTGCAGAGTTTTCAAGGAAAGTCTAGGATTTATTAGCAGATTCCATGTTTGTGACACGCAGGTACACAGTTTATGGATGCAGTTTATGATGCAACAATATGACTTTCATATAGAACACTAACTGCAGTATGAACCTAAACATTAACAGCCAGTTTCTGAAAACTAAAGGTAGTTTTGGCTGCTCATTTTTCCCCAAGGAGAGGGCTTCCCATATTTGATATGGCACAGCTGTTACACCAGATTCGTCTCTCCCATTTATTCAGATTTGGGATCAGCACAAGGGTTTGTGTCTCCTCCTGATCTTAAACTAGGTAAAGCAAATGTGTTAACCCCTACCCCACAGTGCCACTAGACCTAGTTTTAGACTAAATGAAGAATGAATGAAGCTCTCATTTAAAAGGTTGTAGTCCAAGATTATGTTTATTTCATGTCTGGGAGCTGGAGATGACACAGCATTAAACAATGGTAGACAGGTTAAGACAAACACACAATATAAGCGAGTTTTCACCTTTGATCTGCATCAGCATGATGTTCTTGTACGGCACAGCGCTGTTGTTAGACATCTGCTCTGAGATGTTGACGCTGCGCAGACTCACATTGCTGAAGTTTTCTTTACTGGCCAGACCTGCCAGAGCAGCCTCGGAGTATTCTGAGGTTTTATTCACTGAAATGAGAAAATACACACTTTATAAAAACAATAAAGGCCTACTGGAATAAAAATTAATAAATAACTAACATAACTGCTTCATTAAACATTAAAGTAATAAAATCCCTGCAGAAAAAAACGTCTGTATAAATGGGTCACGCTAATTTGCAGAGGTTAAAAATCAATGTAGTTTTGTTGGCTCGAAACGACAATAATGTTTCCAATTTTGCTGTTGTTGCTTTTTTTATTACAAACAATAACAGAGGGGCTCTATTAAGTCTTCTGTTCTACAAACTCCTAAACACAGAGTAATGTTCTTACTCGTCTTCTCGGATTTCATTCTCTTGCTTTCCAACTGTGCCACGTTAAGTCTCTGCTCTGTGTACTCATGTCGGATGTCCTCTCGAGCTGCCAGCATCTTCAGAGGGTTTTTAGATGACTGAACGTTTCTAGAAGGACGAACTGAGCGCTTGTGCTGCACCATGGCTGAAGTCAGCCTAGTCAGGAAGAAAAAATGAGTATGAGTACAATGGAAAATAATTACCAAGAGGCCGATGATGTATAATTAGAAGCTTTTTTTTCTTACTTGGGAGCCTGGGAGCCAAATATGCTGTCAAAATCCTCGCTGATGTCAATCCTGGTGGGCATGCGTGGAAATTCAGCGACACGCCTGTAAAACTTGGAGAAGATCTCATCATCCAGCTTCATCACTTCCTTCACGGCCTTCTCAGTCACTGTTATAGTGGTTTCCTGCAAACCTGCCACTGAAAAAAAAACAGTTTAAAATAATAAGGATGCAATCTATACAGATTCTTTGAAGGTAACACTGCAGAGTGTTGATATTTTTGGGGGATTGGCACTAAAAATGCTTTTAAAATGAAATACATTCCTAAGATGAGGTCAAAGTCACTGCGGATGTACTTACCTTTGCTATTCAAGCGCCCCAAGAAGCTTTCCAACTTGTCAAGCTTCTTATCTGACTCCATGTCCGGCCTCGCCTCAATTTCTGGAAGACATAATTCAAGTTTTAAAACAACAGCTGTGATTAAGATTGAGGTGCTCTCATTACGTTCGTTTCTATCCCTGTATTTTTCTGGACTGCTTTTACATTATTCACAGTTCAAAATGATCCTTATTTATCATATACTGGGCCTTGGCATAGTCTCTTAGTTCTTCCTCTGTTTACAAGCTGTTTTAGTGTCTCTCCCTTTAAGCCAACGCTCTTCTGCTATTTGCATACAAAAATTGTGAACAGTAGGTAGGTGAGGCTGTTGTATTCACAGGATTACCTGCTCTCACTGATATTCTGGATAAATAGCAAACTTAGAATAGTCTAAAGCTTCTGTCTCATACTTGTACATAAACTGGCCTACATATTTGAAACTTTGGCCATATTCAATATGAGGATCCACCAAGTTATTTTAAAGTTATAGTTGACAGAAAATAAAGGAAAACATATCAGGACCCCTTAAAATTTTCTTAAAGTAATTAAATTAAACACACAAGTTCATCCAGCTTTTTTGTGTTTTGTGCTGTTATTACTGTTTTTAAGTTATTAGCTGATATTTTTTTATGAACTTTAGGAATTATTTTTAAATCCATCAGCTTCTGTAAACTGCAAACTAGTTTTTTAAAAGCTCTGACAGCGATTTCTCTGGGGTGACAGTGATGACTTGCAAATCTATCTCACCCTCTTGTGGTTTGTTGACAGCTGGCGTGCTGCTCTTCAGCTTGGTGGAGACAGGCGACAGTATTGGGCTGATAACGGAGGAGGAGGCTGCCAGGCCTGCAGACACATAGACACAAATTTAGAGCAAGCGACATAACTACTACATGAACCTGCTCACAATCAGGTCCTTGAATTTTTCTTTAATGCCTGTGAAAAAAAGACTCTGCATTTGGTATTTTTGGCACCAGAAGCCAAGTGCATCTCTACATTTCGACAGCCAGTGTCACCAACTAAGTCAATGCAGATTTGTAAATAGCACTAGAGTCCAAATACATCCATTTTTTTGGGTGCATACTGTTGCTTCAAAGTCTTTTTCTATAGCATTTTTAAACACCACCCCAGTCACCCACCTTTCTTGACCATACGTGCAGCCACTGTGTACTGGGTGGAGTCATTAGCTGCTCCTTTGCCCTTTGCCTTCCAAGCATCCTCACGAGTTGAAATCATCTGCTTCCTCTCCTCAATGGTCATCTGGGCTTCAATTTCCTCCCCCGTCTTCTGCACAGACATGTCAAATTATCAGATTATGAATGATTATTAGGTTAAAGTGTCAAGCCCTGCATGAAAAGCAATCATCTCTACACAATGAAGCTAACTGTTAGTCTTCAATTCAATGTATTTCCAGCCATGTAGGACTTGTTTTTAATAAGATTAAAACATAAAACAAATACATGGAAGAACTGCATCACCTCTGTAGCTCCAATTCACTGCTTTGTTCCCAAAGGCGCAATTATTCATGTAGTAACAGTATCAAACCAAGCAGTTATAAAAAGATTGGATGCATTCGAGCATGCTAGGTGCATTGCTATATATAGTCTACTGTATTCGTCAGTGGAAGTGATGGCTGTACACTCGTGTTGGCGTAACCAAATCAATTTCAATAACGCAGAAAGTGCTCAACACATGAGTAGCTGCAGACCAAGCAAGAACGATAAGACTCCAGTACATGCTGCCTGTTTGAGCATGCTAGGCGCATGACCTTACCTGACTATGATGGTCAATATACTGACACTTTTGGCCAAGGGAGATAGGAGGAGAAAAGGTAGAGGAGAAGACAGGCTCCTGAGGATGTAGTAGTGGGTGGAAAATTGAAAGACAGGAAAGGAAACGAGGGAAAAACGATGAACACAGAGGATGACAAACGATGGATGCAAAGGAAAGAAGACCAAAGCCAGAAACTGCAGTTTGACTATTAAACAGTAAACATGATGCTAATTTAATTTTACCTTTAAAACATGCCGGTTTTAAATATTCATTATTCATTTAAGAAATGACAAAAGCCTTTCAAAAGAATTAAGGAAGTTTCACTGTCTCTAAATAAAACACTCCAAAATAAAGAATGCACTTACTTTTGTTAAAGGTTGCTGAATACATTTATGTTTACTGTTAGTAACAAGGCAACAAATCGCAAAAAGCCACTTCGCCCAGGAGAAAATTACATTACCTGTGCAATGAAAACGTAAAACTTAAAGGAACCCCGTCTCTTTCAATCTCGTGGGTCTTAACATGTTGCCTGTTCACACTGTCAAACATGTGCGGTATATTTTTACTGGTTAAAAGTTGAAAATATTTAACACATTTTTTGATCTGCAATGTAAACTGGTTGCACTCCATATTAGAAGCATCATAAAATGTTAAAGTGCTCCTTTTGGTTGCAATTTCCAGTAAAAAGGAAACATGTAGAATTCGTTTTCAAAGCCTTCCTGTTGCTAGGAAGAGGAGAAAGAGGGAGGAAAGTGCTTGTGCGCAAAGACAAAGCATTTGATGCATTTGGTCAACTAAAAGATCTGCTGATCATAAAACCAAACACTGTGTCTACATTTTTCTCGCACAAGGAGTCTAACTGGCCTCGGATAACGACCAAAAATAGATGCTGTCTTGCTGCTGCTGGATTTGTACACAGCACTTTCTTTTGTTTTTCTAAGGTTTTTAATGTGCGTAACAGTGGTTTCTATATTGTTAAATGTTGTTATACTTGTTTGACAGTTGCCACAAGACACAAATAGAATTTCCAAAAGGGCAACAAACATTAAATACAAATTATTGCTAATGGAATCGATCGAGAAAATCAGAATATATAAAACTGCCGTCTTCTAGATCGGCAAAGAGGAGCTATGCTGCACAAACACAGATATTTCCGTATTCTCTTCATATCGCCTCTGTGAACACCATCATTGTGATATACAGTTTGACTAACGCCCATTATGTTTTCTTCTTTGCTTTCCTTGTTAAACTATTTTCAGGTTTAAATAAAAAAGGTTGTAAAAAAGGTTGAATATCAAACATGTCCATGTCATAGAAGGAAACAAAAATTGCAACCAAACACTACAATCTTAACAACAATGGTGGCTACGAGTTGCGGGAATTATTTTTAAATTTTACAACAAAATACAAAACTATAAAAGACATTCACAGTGTATTTTATTTCAAACTCAAAAAATATAATAAGCCACATATCTTCATACCAGGGTTCGTTAAATATAATATATTGGCATTTAAAGCAGTTTCTTAGCCAACCTGTGGAGATGTGACTTGTGCAAAGTGAACTCGTGATTGCTCATCAAATGCTATAGTATTTCTGAGCATGAGCACTTTACTTAAGAAGTGCTTAATTAAAATATTTAGAGCCCCAATGACTTTATATAATCTAGTATTAAGACCATGTGTTAAATGTTAAATATTAGATGTTGTTAGAACATCGACAGACCAGCAGATTCAGGAAAAGCAAAAAGCAGCCTCGCACAACATCCAAACAAAACTGTGACAGGAAAACAGAGATCCCACGCCAAGCTAATAACCAACAGGTCTTACCCACAGCTGTTCAGACACAGACAGAGAGGAGTCCTGAACAACCACCCCTTCCTCCTGAGGGGTTAAACACAGGGGAAGTACACGTCAGAGTGAGGGGGGGCTACTGCTATTGTTGCTAATGGGTTTTAGGGGCGAGATCGCCTTAAGGATTAGCATCCAGCGTTTAAGCAGGCGGTTTCAACTCACAGAATACTAATTTTGAGTGTACGAGCTGCAGGAAAGGAGTCCTTTAAAGTGCCCTAGTCCCAAATCCCAAAATTAGAACTTCTTTGAGCTTATAAATGTCTTTCTAGCTGCTGTTTAAGCCAACAGAGATGCATAAATACTTATAAGAGATTCCCAAAATAACTCTTTCTGTCAGATAAGCTTTCAAGTATTACCTCTCGAGGTTTAAGTCAAACTTAGCCTGAAGCTTCCCCGATTGTGTTAAAATTCATTTGTAATAGCCCAGACTGCTAATTCTACAAGCAGAACGAGGCGGATGATTTAGTGTTTGCTGTCTGAGGGCTGGATGCCACGCTGGTCGGACACCACTGCGCTCAAACAACAGATGGGCTAAAGGGAATGAAATGAAAAGGAGCACTTAACTGAAAGAGAGGGGGGGGCAGAAGCTGGCATGGTAACGATGAAGGATGGGGAGGGAAATGAGGCACTGGTGTTTACTATGTTTAACAAAAACTGTTAGAGCAAAGGCTCTGTAAAAATATACCTGAAGCTAAATGAAAAGCGGATATAACACTTTTCTGAAACAGGGGATTAAATTTATTCCTATTATTTGGTTTCATTTATATTGGTCATGTCATGACATTTTCTGCAAACATTTAAGACAAATGTTGTTTTAAACCACAATCTGTTGGAACTCAAGTGAGAAACCTGTGCCCACTTTACTTACATCTCCAGGAAATGTAATCCGTGGAGAATGACCTGCTAGTCATATTTTGAGCACACACAGTTTTATTCACAGCGATGTAGAAACCACAAACATTTACGTGAGGAGACAGGTTTTAGTGCAGTTTCTCTACATACAGTGCGCAAGAACCAGCCCAGTGTATCTGGGAAGCACGACAAAACTGCAAGTCAGCCGCACAGTTAGTTAATGGGTCTGACTTAATCAAATAAATCAATAAATATAATCACAAAAGTGTCAACTGCATAAATGATCATTTATTTTAATGCTGGATACTGGAAAGAGAGATTTAATTTTCACTATAATTTTTTTTTTTTAAAAGCTACATTTTGTTTGGTACTTTCTTCTTTAGCTTAGGTTTAAATTTGCCAAATCAAACATGACTCACTCTAAATGTGACCACAGTGAGGCTTCACAGTTGTTATACTGTATACACAGTAAAGACTAACCTTCTTCTGGCTGGTCTGATCTGTTTCCCATGGCTGAGCTGGCTGCTCAGTGGATGCCACTTTAACCACTTCCTGTTTCTTATTGATCCTGTTCCTCCAGTCCTCCTCACCACTCTTCTTCAGCAGTGCCACTCTGACATAAGACAAGAGATAATCTTTTAACAGGCAAAAATTAGGCTTTTAATTAATATCCTATACTTATTTTTTTTTTTAAAATCTGTGTTCTGTCATTGGACAGTGCCTTGTAAAATTCTTAGGGCCAAAGTCTAGAAGCCAATGGGTAACCTCCACGTTTACGATGGCTAAATCCATATATGTGTACAAAATGACAATATAAAAATACATGGAAATAAAAATATTGAGATAATGGTGCTTTTCAAATTTATATATAAATATGTTTTACATATTCGTGCTTTTAGTTCAAATCATAGGAAAGAAATCCTTTCAAGGGAGAAAATCCAGACCAGAGACCTTTTGCTGCAAACACAACTATTACAGTTTTTCTCGATTGCTTAAAAACTATAACCAATCTTGTGAACCCAAATTTCAAATTTTAATGCCACTTTCCAAGAAGCACACCCATTTCCTTGAACTATAAACACGATGCCCCTGCTTTACCACATGAGTCAGATGTGGTGAACTGTAAAACTACACACAAATCCCTACATTTGTCAGTGCTTACACCATGTGGTCACTTAGAAAGCACTAGCAGTCAATTAACTCACATCAGCACAGCTTTAGCTCAAATAGCACATAGTTAACGAAGTGGAAACACTATGAGTCAAAATGTATCACACACCAATCAGAAACTTTAATGGATAAACAAAAGGGCCCAAGTCAGCTCATTCAGGTTTGAAACAATTGATCCAAAGACATGCAAAGGAAGAGGTCCAGGAGCAGTAGGAGAAGGTGGTCTAGGACACCAGGGAGGAGGAGGTGGAGAAGGTGGAGGAACATAATTGGTTATTAGGCTATTGTAAATGTCCCTGGTAAGCATGGAAGGAATGTCACTATGTGCGCAGCTATCAGCCAACGAGGGATACTCCACCGCCATCTGATTCTAGGACCCTATAACACTATGCTTCTCCTTGCTTTTCTTGATGGTCTGAGACAACATATGTTTCAGCGGGACTGCAGGTAACCAGCACAGCCAGAGCAGCCTCACTACGTTGTTGTTTGGGATAACGTCAGCTTCCATCACGCTGCTATGGTTCATGACTGGTTTACCAATAACCCAAGGTTTTCTAACATCTTTCTGCCTGCATACTCTCCCTTTCTAAACCTGATAGAGGAGGTATTTTCGGCAAGGCAGTGGAAGGTGTACAACACCTTATGTCCTCCTCCAGGCCGCGAAAGACGCCTGCCTAGACATATCAGTAGATGCATGCCAGGGGTGGATCAGGCATGCAAGAGGATTTTACCCCCACTGCCTAGCTAGGGCCAATATAGCTTGTTATGTCAATGAAATTCTCTGGCCTGACTCAAACCAAAGACAGGATGCTGAGGTGGAATAATGTTTTTGGTGTGTATTGTACTGGATGGTACATGAATAAAAATGTCCCACTGTATGTACATTGGTTGCGTCTTTTGTGTTCATCATGTGAAAAGGTTTTTGAGGGGAAGAACCACAAGCAACATAACTTGCCAGTTTTGGGAATACTGTTTTACATTTATTGCACCAATGTGTACGACTATGTTGTCGTGCATGTGTTTTTGAGGCCGTGTGTGTGATGTCTGTAGTCAAAGTTTGGTTTTTCAGCAAGAGCAAATGGTTTTGAGTATAGAGCTTCATTTTGACCTGACAATACGATGTTTGGGAAATTGGGTGAGAAGTTATGGATTTGTGTTTACTGTTTTGAAAATACGAGGCATAGTTTCAAGAAATGTGTTTAAGCAATCGAGAAAAACTGTAACAAAGGCCTCCAAAGACTGCATGAGGAGCCCTGATAACGAATGGCCGAGGGGTAAAGGAAAGTATGTCATAATCTCCTCTCCTTGTCTGGACAGGGCAGAAATGAGGGCATTAGGAGGAATGTGCAAACTCTCAGGGGACTCTAACAGTCCACTCAGCTCTCTGCCAGCTGTGAAACACAGTGATGCTAATAATGAATCTCTCCCACCTCCATGGATGTGAAAGAGTTAAACAAACCTATATACGGCAGTGAAGGACACACAGTCTTATCAGGTGCAACACTACAATGTTAGCAAGCTTTGGCTTTTTTGACTCAGCCAGCAGAAAAGAATCAAAATCTGATCTTTGCTGGCATTTAATTTTACACCTTGTAAAGAGCCGAACTCTGATTGGATCCAGAACTTGTGAATCCACTTTGTAGCCTAGCCAGTGTTGCTAGGCTACAAGCTTTAAAGAATTATTTTCTTTATGAATTTTCATTCACCTAAAGGATCCCAGTCACGGTCATGCGTGCCATTGTTTGTATTCCATGTTTGGCAGCAAAGCCTTTGAAGGTATTTATATTCAGAAAAAAATAAGTTTCAGGTCTTTTGGTTAAACTGCACTTATTTCATTTATGTGAAAAAATGGTTTTGTATGGTTACTGAACCAATTTCACTAGACATAATGAGGCATAACGACAAACACGGCAGCAATAGACTTCGCATTTTATACCAGATATTGTTTCTCAAACCTGAGCATGTTTTTTATCTCCAAAACAGCTGCCCAAATAAGCGCTCAGAGGGATTACCACCATAGAGTTTTGTCGTTATGAGGAGCAGCACCTTCCAGAGACCACAAATCGTAATTTTGGAATTGAGTACTAATTTGCTTTTGGGTGTTGTTTTGGACATTTTAATCATATCCTCTACATCTTTTTTCCCCCTCTGCTTTTACATCTACAACAAATAAATAAATCTATAAGTAAATCTGCACTAGATGAAACCTTCAGCTGTCACTCACCTCTCCTTTATGGACATCTGTTTGCTGGACATGCCGTCAGACAGCTGGTCTCCGGACTCTGTGGGGGACAGCAGGTCCCCAGAATGATCACTGAGTCTGCCCAAGTCCTCGATGTGTTCCAGGGGCAGGGACTGGGACTTGATGAGCGCCTGGGGCAAGGACTGAGGTTTGGGGGGGGTCTGCGGAGGCACCTGGGGTTTGAGCTGAGGCTGCGGTGCTGTCTGCTGGTAAGGCTTAGGGAGAAGTTGGACGAATCCCTGAGGTTTGGGCTGGGTTTGTGGCGAGTGATTGAAAGGCTTGGGATATGTTGGTGGGGCCTGGGAGTACGGCTGGGGCTCGATGTATGATGGAGGTTTGGGTTGGTTTGGAGGAGACTGCTGTGTGAAAGGTTTAGGGAGGGTCTGGGGAGGCTGAATGACGGTCTTCTGCTGCTGCTGGCTGCTTGAAACGTGAGACACAGTCCTGGATGACACTTTAGCTATCAGTGGCCTCAGTGGCGCGTGATGATCCGGCACATCTGGGAGAAAAATTGAATGCAATAGTGTATATTAACTGATCAAAATTACAGATATTTACATAAAAGATTTTGTGCCACAGGCCTTCCATCAAAACCTGTTGAAAAAATATTAAAAAGATAACTTTTCCAGATGTGAAAATATGGAAAATATGTCCCACTGTGATTACACTTGTTTAAAATCTGAGAGGATATGATACCTCTGGAAATTCCTCAGATGAGCTTGCTGTGAGATGACACTGTTTACCACTTCATCCCTGTCCGTGCAAACAATTTTTGGTTTTACAATAAATGGCATGCAAATTTTTTTATACTTTATATATACAATGGTTACCATTTAGAAGTTTTTAGTAACTCTTTTCAACAGAAAATTGCTGAGTGGGAGTAAACATGGATCTGTTTGGGAACTGGGTAAAATTCAAATCTTTTCAACAGCCTGAAATACAACATTACACCTTTCATCTTTTCAGACTTCTACGTTCTCAGATTTCTTTTTCCAACCAAAGGCAAGAATTAAAGCCTTTCTATGTTCAACTTTTATATACAGTCTATATCTTGAACTAAGACTTTTCAAACTACATCTGGTTCAGCAGTATTTTCAATAGTCCCACCTTAATTGGTGTTAATGTGGTGAAACAGTGTAGATGTTAGCAGTGTTTTGAAATAAAAACATATTAGCATGGATGCAGGAGCCCTAAAAGGTAAAACTAAATTAAACTAACAGAAAAGTCAAAGTCAACTTTTAAAATGCACTGTGTGGGTGTAGCATTAGTTTAAAGGCTCTTTAAAATCTACCTTTCACTTTTTGTTTGTTGGCTGATGAATTTAGGGAAGCTCCATCTGATATTTTAGCGCTGGGTTTATTGGAAATGACCACATTGTTCTTTTCACTGAACTGATTATAATTTTGTTTGTCTCTTATAAATTTGAATATATCAAAACGTTCCTGAAGCATTTTTTTAAAAGAACCCTTTTTTGCAAACAATCACAGTGTAAATACTCCGATAATTATCTGGAAATGGATTCATGTGTTACTAAACACGAAGATGAGGTTACCATATATCTGTTTGTGCACCAACTCCGTGAAATGCATGCATGCACACAGGGAAACGATTTTGTCGGATTTAAGTTCGAGCCACATAGTTGCAGACGTTAGAAGACACGTTCACCTCAATATTTTGAGCAAAAACATTTTTCCCACCAGTGAAAAATGCTTTTGTTAACTTGTTACTCTGCAAGTTATATGTAAGAAGAAGAAGCTTTGAGCAACTTTTTGAATATGTTTTGTTGCTAGTGTGCTATCTTATCTTTCTGCCTGCCTGTGTTTTCACCTTCAGAAACATATCTGAGATGCACACGAATATCCTCTGAATCACCTGAAAGCACAGATATACTTGACATACTTTAAAGTGTGCACAAAGTTTTGAACATGGGTATCTGAGCTATTAAAAGAAACGTAATTATTAATGTGAGCAGGTGACAAATGGCCCTTTGGGCAAACAAAAACAGAAAAGCCTGATATGACACTGTTAGTTCATTACACTCTCTGGAGCGAGGCAAAGTTAAGAGGGCAGCAAAGTAAATCTATATGTATGTTGACTCAGCAGGGATAGCAGGAATAATATTACACTGGAAATATTTTTGAAAGCAGTACAGAATACCAGAGAGCCTCGCTGCATTACAGTGCAGTTTTCTGTTTCTTTTAAAAAAATGTCCACTACACTGATACAGAAAATGAAAATGCTGCATAGAAAGTAAAGTGTGAGATGATCAGGATTTCCTGCAGGGAGGAATCCCAGACTATCCCCACTTAATGTGTATTAAATATACTGTGGAGATACCTCACAGTATGGTGAAAAACTCTGGCCACAGTCAGAAGGACAACTACACAGTAGGCTTAACATGTGTCTTATTAAGGCTTTTAGGCATGTTGTGGTATTTCCCCAGTGAATCATGATAAGCTCGTATAAAGGATCTTACTATAGTGAAGATTTACTCATGCAGAAGTAAATAAGGCTATAGCCTGCAGACAAGCCTTCCATTGTGTCCCTCTTGTCCTCTACCTGCTTTATTTAAGTGTCCAACAATTGCTCTGCACTCTCTCAATGAGTGCTTTCATCTCTGCATGTACTGTTTGTGTGCATGCATGGGAAAGGACCACCCCTGGACACTCTGTGCATTAGTACATAAAAACAGGTCAGGCCTATTTTACTGTAGCATGTGCACAGCTAAGCCACAGGCGTAATGTGGTGCAAAAGGGATGACAGCCCCTGTAGAGGCCACAGCAGTGAGGAGAGACAGTTCTATATAAAAATCTTAGCTGATCAACAGCATGTTAGGAAAGGGCTTCCTCTTTCCAGACAAAGAAGCCACGAGGTAAATTCATGGAAAAATATGCTAATTAGATGCAGTCTCAGACGCCTCTCCCTCTCTCTTTCTGTATCAGCCAAATCAAACACCCCCAGCTGGGACAAGTGTGTGTGCAGCCGGCAAAAACCAATCATGCGTGGGAGCATGCTGCATGAGACAATGAGGATAATGAGAGCAGCCCCTTCCCCAGACATTTCTCCTTCTGTCTTTTTGTCATTTCCGTTTTGTCTTTTCTTTTTGCCCCTTCTATTTTTATATCTTTGTCCATCCTTCTCTCAATCCCCCCCCACCCCCTGCCCCCACCCATCCACCCATCACCCCAATTATCTCCATCTCTTTATGTTATAATCAACAGAGAAGCTTCCTACCTGAGACCGGGCCACTGCCTCTCTCCTGCTCATGTGTGGAGGAACTGTGCGCTGCTGCAGCCTCCCTCAGGTAGCCTCCTTTTCCTCGTCCTCCTCCCTCTGCTCTGTCTCTGTTCTTGTGGGAGTCTCCGTCTGCGGCTCTCCAGCTGGGCAGAGACTCTGACTCGCCCCCCCACAAAGAGGGCTCGGCAAAGTGCTGAAGCCGGGGATGCTGCTGCCTGTCGTCTCTGTCCCTGTCGGGGGAGTGCCGCTTACCCTTAATGCTGCTGCCTTGGCCGGCTTCTCTGGCTCCTCCCTGCTGTCTTTGCCTCACCTCCTCCTCTTTCGGTGCTCTCCGACTCTCCTCCTCCTGCCTGTGATCAGTTGAGGAGGTGGGAGCAGGAGGGGCCCCAAATTTCTCCTGGCTCTCAGGGAAGGGATGAGGGGAGGAGTTGAGCTCAGACTCTGGGTGGCCTGGGTCCCCACTCTGGGTCATGGAGAAGTACTTCGGCGCCCTCTCCTGGTGAATGCTGGTGCTACTGGAAGCCTGTTGTTGGGCAGGGATGTAGGTGACGGCAGTGGACTTCTCTAAACGGAGACCATCATCATCACCGGCAATGCTGCCTGATGCCTTGGTTACCATGGCGATGGAGGCCTGGGAGGTGACAGCTGCCACCGATCGAACCAGGGAGGCTGACAGGGGCTCCAGTTTGATCTCGCCGCTATTTTTCAGCTGCAAGAACAGCAGGAGTCGTGTGAGAAAGTCGGGACACAAAAGACAGAACAACAGAAGAGGTGAAGGGATCGATATGAAGGGCGGAGGACGTGAATACAATTAAAGCAGACAAATTAGAACTCAATGGAGGGATAGGTTGCAGAACGTAGGCCTATGTGGATGTGATGGTGAACAGACAGACGACGGGATGGCAAAGAGGCCAAAAGGTAGGGAAGAAACATGTGGACTGTTGAGAGGAAGGAAAGCAGCAATCACAGCACAACTGAAGCCACAGCAGTAGCTGTCATTCACACAATTACCTGATAATATACATCTTAGCCACGTCGTCATACTTAAACACAGCTCAGTAATTTCCTTTTAATTATGTTCATACTTCCATTTTTGTTAACCAGTGTGGCATCATGGAGTGGTCAGTGCAGTGTAGGGTCTTTACCTCACAATTTAAAGCACCTCAACCATTGTTGTGATTTGGAGTTGTATAAATAAAATTGAATTGAATTAAAATACATCTGAAATTCTTGAGCAACAAGAAGTTAATGAATACAGACACCCTAATACTTTAAAGTACTGGAGCATGATGAGCTAAAAAATAAAGCTGGATTTAAAATTTGACACTTGATTTGAATCTTTCAAACAATAGTCAGTCAAAGGATTAGTTAGAAACACACACTGTATATAAAAGACAGCCAACCGCAAGTACACACTTTCCCGATGACTTCCTGACACAACAGCCAAGAGTTTTTGTCTCCTGCTGGGAACAACCTGAGGCTCTTTCGCTTGTTAGGCCAAAGTGTAAAGCACTACACTATGCAGTTTATCTTTAATATGTCATCTGTGGTTAGGAATTAAATTTTAAAAGCCAGAAAAGTGCATCAAAGCTGTATTGATGTTATCTCCTACATTGTGTAGTTTATGTCTCTTCCTCAAGGTGCTCCAGCACAGGTGGCTTATACGTTTACGGAAATAACCAGTCATCAATAACATGCTAAAGCTCCACACCACTACAACACACTGATTTTGTTTGCAATTCAAGGTCTCACCAAATTTTGTACACATTCAGTATCACATCTATCCACATACTAAATCCACAGGTAAGCATTTCTTTTGCAACAGAAGTTACTTCAGGACTAAACAAACTAAAGAGCTGTATTTGCTTGCATTTGAATATCCCATGCTTGTTATGCAGGGAACAAGCATGTCCCAGAAGCAGCAACCATTAAAAAACATAGCCACAGATAACAAAAAAACTCAACCGGAACTTTTAATTACATGCTGTTTTGCAAAGAGTACACAGATCTAACACTGAGGCAAAATAAAATTCATTTTTAATCGACACCAAAAGCCACTAGACACAAACACTGGCTTCTAGCAGGACCTGATCAGATCAGTCCTGGCGGGATTTTTCAATGCAACCAACCATAAGCTCCACAAATGCAGCAGGGGTCTTACATGTTCCTCCTGACTGGTCTCTAAGTCACCATTGCACACCGCAGAGGTTACTGCCAGCTCATCTTCCTGTGTGGAAACCAGGTATTGACTATGACTCACTGCTGAGAACATGGTGGAGATAAAGTCGACCTTTTATAAAATATCTCAGCGTGATGTCAGGTTATCTTTGTCAGAGGATGCCGGGGAGGAACGTTTTCATTTTTCACCCTTACTAATATATACAGTATTATAAAATTCAGGGTAGCTCTGGAAACAACAACAACATTAATGTGATAAATGAAAATTGTGTCAGGCCTCCCATTTGTGAACTTCTTGTCATTTGTGACATATGGAGGCTAGTAAAGTTTAAAAAAACACAAGTGCAAAATAAACTCTGTGACCTTTTTTGTGCTATGTAAAAGTCATCCCTCTGCACAGAGAACCACGTCAGCTGTCGCTAAAGCACTGAGGCAAACTGTTCGTGGTGCTCACTGCAGTCACTGGAAGTAACCTAAAAGTAAAATGTTTGCAGGTTTTTCACAAATCTTACAGCAAAGAAACTCTAGATGATCTATTGTTCATTCTAATTAAATTACACTTTTGTCTGCACATCAGTTCTGCCAGAAAATTGTTAACCTCCTGCAGAAATTTGCTTTTACTCTAGAGCTTTTGTGATAAACAAGAATATCATTCAATTCATTTTATCACTACTTACACAATTTCATTGTTGTTAGTTGTAATTGTTCCCTTTGTTTGTTTTCAGCCAATTTTCTCTGCTTTCTTTGCACTTTTTGTTGAGCATTGCAGTCTTTCATGTTATTTCTTTCAGTCTCTTTTCTATATACTTCTACCAATTTTTGTGCCTTGTTTTATGCCTAATGCCATGTCAGTTTTGAATAAAACAAATCTAATTATAACATATTTATTGCACAGAACTTTGCTCATACATGTTAGAAGAAAAGTAAAAGAACTAGTAGTGGTCGTTAGGGATCTTTGTATATTGGCATTGCAAAAGGTGAAATTATTGTACCTTCTTCACCTCTCCCTGGGTGATAGGTTGAGTCTGAAAACGAGCATTAGCTCTGCGCTGGCGGGTGTCCCCTCGAGTCCCCTCACCAGTCTTGCCTGTAGAATGGGCGAGGCGGTTGAACAGGGCCATTTTCTCAGACAAACTGAGCGTGGAAAGGTCTGGCTCCTCTGGGACACCTTCCTGGCCATTTACCTCCACCCCTGCAGTGGAAGCCTGAGCTGGTTTCTGGTGCTCCTGGCTTTCCTTGTCCTGCTCCTGGACTGTTGAGCCTGGCTGAGAGGAACCCTGAATGCTGGGGTAGAGACAAAGGGATGTCAGTGACTGATTTAAAAAATAAATAAATGTTTACTTTAACCTGGGACATTTTTATACTACAGTGATATCTGCCTTTGACTTGGATTAAATGGAAAATTGTGCCACTAAAAGCACACAAAAATATTTCTTTGAGTTAATAGAGTAATAATTGTTAAAAAAAAACAACAACAACAAAACATTATTATAGAGTTTCAAATTTGCTTTTTGATACTTTAACCACCTGCAGAGCAGCATCCTTAAAGTCTGCTTTTTATATACTTTTTAAGTTTACCTGATGAGTAAATGGCTGTGGCAGCTGTGTCAGATTACAGTCACAGCAACAGAGGCATAAGCAGATCAGCCCACAGATGACTGATAATCATATAATGCAGCTGAATGTTTGCAGTAGTGTGCTGAGTTAAACCTGGCCTGGTAAACAAACTGCAAGACACGTGAGCTCACGCTTTAACCTTTCTGATGATATGCAACCTTTTCCTTCACCGAGGTTTGTGACCTGCATGTGAAAATCACTGCAAGAAGCAGTGATGCTTGGAAACTGAACGTTTAAAGTTCTGAATGAGTTATTGTGTAAGCAGTGTCTTCTATCTCGTATAAGGTGCACACAGCAAAGAAGCAGGACATGAGGGGGGCAGAAATAACAAGGTAAGGAGAGCTGGATGAGCACATCAGCACTGCAACCAGGAGAGGGAGACGAAGATTTATTAACTGCAAACAACATGGCAAATTAAATAGGAAAGGGTAGTTAGAAACTAGGTGTGGTTGTGAGTTTTAGCTTTATTTAGAGCGCAAACATCATGCAGATCTCTCCAATTCATATGTGTGGATGTCATTCAATGGAGGGATTTGCTTGAAGCAAATGTAAGGGTTGTTCATGTGCAGCTTTTCAGGCTATCTTTTTGCTCTCTTTTGTTCTTTATTCTTGTTTACTTCTTGGACTGAAGTCGACCTGCTCCTCCTAACCTAATTTGGGACTTATCCAGAAAAGCTCAGTAGCACGTTTTATTGCCATTTTTCTCTTAATGTCTTATTAAAGACAATTTGTATTTTACTACCTGCGTCTGACTTTTCCTGCTTTTGGACTGTTTTATGAACGAACGCACCCAAAAGAACCCCCAATATATCAGTAAATTCTTGGATAACATAAATTATTCCAGTTTATAAATTACCCCAATTCTCTAAGTGCATTATTAAAGAGTATTTTTTATTATTATTTTTAATCAAGCATAATGGCTAGATGCCTTCAGTGCTAAATATAATTTTTTACTATACATTGTAATGCACCCTCTTCTCTATAAAATTCATAAATTTATTTTTATGCTGGAAAACATCCCATTTCTCCCTTATGTCGATGCTGCTGCCCTGCGTTACCATCTTCTGTTTCAACCCATCCACCACCCCAGCATCCACCCTTTTGGGTCCAGGGAGATATTTTACACATCACCAGTCTTTATATACTTGTCTGAGCAGAGTTGTTTGACTAAGTACATTAATATCACACGTACACTCAGGAAAACATCAGAGCCCACCTGATGCTAGTCACACTGGTGCTGCCTACTCTGGATCCGGACACATTATCTAGATTACTGTGGAAAACCGGAGGTTGTGAAGATGTGGCAGGATCACTTAAAGTGGAGAAAAGGACATATATATATAAACAGAAAAAAACAGTGAAATTAAGGTGATGGAAGGCAGAAATAGAAGTGTCTTCAGATGTGTCAAAGAGAAAGGAAGAAAAAGACAAGAGAGGCACAGAAAATTGCAGATAGGAGCAGAGAAATGACTTTTAAAAATGAAGGGAAGGAGTAAAGGAAAAGAAAAGCTTCAAAATGCCCATCTACCTTGAAGCATTGACCACCTCCTTGTTGGTGACAGGCTGTGTGTGTGAGCGGTCCTGAACTCTTCTCAGACGTCTTTCTACAGCCGCATTTCGTGAGCGTGGTTTGGGAACACCACCCTCCAATGTTTTTTCAAGTTCCTGTATCAAAACAAAACGTATACCTGTTTCAACCTCCGTGTATACTCAGATAACTCACCAAAGGTGATCTAAGCCAAATTTCAGCTTTTGAAACTATGATTTTAAAACGGTTTAGCAGCATTAATCGTGTGTTATGAATAATTTACCCTGAAGAGAGACCTCTTTGCAGCCACACTCATCTTGGCTCTCTCATCCAGTTTTTCTTCATCTGCTTTTAAAAAGGAAGAATTATGTTATATGCATAATTATATATTGCAAAAGTTATGAAAATTTCCTTAAACAGTTTTTACACTAAATACATTTTCTCTGATACACTGTACTCGCCTTCAGCATCCTGTAGTTGTGAAGGGCTCAGACAAGACCTGTAGAAGACATAAAAATACATCATTCCTCTGAATTTATACCATATTTCATTTAATCTTTTGACCACGGGACCATAACCTTATGGCCGGTGCAGAGTCATGCTCTTTCATGCCATTCTGTGTTTTTTCCTTTGTCAATGGACTTGTTATAAGGAGTTCCTAGTACAGAAACCTCCTCTTGTACCTATCAGACTCCAAACGCTCTGCAGATGTGATGGGCTGGGTCCTAAACCTCTCCGACATTCGACTGTCTCCTGGAGTGATGTAGCGCCGAGGTCTGCGAACACCCCTGTCCCGATCACTGCTGCTAGACGGATCTACTTCCACAGCTGAGAGATCTACTTTAGTACTCTCACTTTTGGAGGAATGGATGAATTTGGAAAGTGTGACGAAGACAACAAAAAGGAAAAGTACTTTTAAACCAAAAATAAAGATAGTTGGTCTTGTTTTTTTAATTTAACATATTACCTTCAGACGCACTTGGGTTAAAAAAATAAAATAAAAGCAGACACACAGACCTAACTGCAACACAAATATAAAGGTCAGTTACTTGATGGTAACATGCAGCTGTGACCCAACTGTCAAAACAGTTTGCAGAAATGTAATGAAACACAACAGTATTTCACACCTTCCATGCCACATAAAATGCATCACCACCATTATTTTCTCAGATTGCCACTGTATTATTTATTTGCACCAGCTTATTAATGCACTGTTAGACAGTTATTTAGCAATGCAACACAGAGCCCATGCTCAGTGGACCTACAATTCTGGTTTCCGGTTTGCATTTTCCAGATAAGAGTGTCGCAGCTGTGCCACTGACACCCTTGTGTCCAGGGTGCCCGTCTCCCCGTTAGCCATTCCTGGTGCAGGGCCGGTCCTGGATGCCTCTCTGCCGATGTCCATACCATACAGGACAGCATGCTGGCTTATACCTATATCTGACATGGAGCGGGTTCGTGTCTTGAGTTTGGACCCTCCACTCATCTCCGTGCTTCTGTGTCTGGCCTGAGGCAAAGAGGAGCCCTTCTGGAGGTAGGCTGAGTTAAGCCTCTGGTGCCCAGATGGAGCCTGCTGCTGCTGCCTGTGATGCTCAGACTCCTGGTGTATTTGGGGATGTTGTGTCTCCTGGGAGTCTTGCTGTTGACGTACAGTCTTATGTCTTTGTAGCTCCAACTCCTGTTGTCTTTGAGCCTGTTGTTGTCTTTGACTCTCCACTTGCTGTCTCACGTGGTCATACTTATGTTGCATTTGCGGGTCTTGTTGTTGAAGTTGTGCAGCATGCTGTCTGTTGTGGTGCTGATGCATTAGAGGCCCTGCTTGCTGAATTTGGGGCTCTTGATAGCATATAGGGTCAGAGGATTGATGCTGTCTGGGCTGCGATGATCTAAATGCTCTTTCCTCTAGGCCGTCATGGCCAAGCTCTCTCCTCCATTCTCTGATCCTTTCAACATTTCTCTCCCTCCCCCTCTCCCTTGGTCTCTCCCAATCCCAGTCTTCCTCACCTCGACTTGCCCTCCTTCGTTCTGGACTTTTGTTCTGCCAGTCTGCATCTTCATGTCGTCCCCTATGTGTGTCATCCACACTCCTTTCCCTTCGCCGTATCTCTGAGGGCAACACAGCTTTCCTGCTCTTTAACAGGCCCTCTGTTTGGACTTCTTCCTTTAGGGCTTGCCTCGCTTCCAATCGCGCCTCCCTATGGGCAGCATAGATTTGGTCAGAACTAACTCTTCTTCGTGGTTGTACTTCAGGGGGTTCAGAAGGTCTGGCACTTGGTTCTAATGGAATCATGGCCAAATAGGGCTGAGAGTCCATAGCAGGGCCAGAGTGTTGGTAGTCGGAGTTCGAAGTAGGGTAGGGTATTTGCCCATGAATCGGATGGTAGCCTAGGCTGTGCTGAGGCTGGGGAACTGTCCTTTGCTGGGTGGGTTCTGAATGCTGTCGCGTATATTGAGCTGTGCTCCCTTGAATACGATGTCTGTTATCCTGGTGCCTATCAGGACTGCAGTCAGGAGGCCTCTTGACAGTTTCATCCCTGGACAATCGTTCCCTTACTCGGATTCTTGGAAAAAGGAATGCACAAGGGAAACTGAGCTTCCAGTTCAATTAGAAACTACTATTTCCTCTAAGCCCAAAACTCAACTCAAACACAAGGGGATATAAGTTGTAATCCAGAGTTCCACTAAAAAATAAATAATAAATAAATAGAAATAGAAATTAAAGCCCTTACCCAATTTACTCTGAAGTTTGTCTCTACCTGACCGGCCCTCTTCCATATGCACATTAACAGTTTGCGATGATCGCCTTCACTTTCACCATCAAAATTGGCAACTCTTCAACTTTATTTAAATTTTTGGGAAGCTGCATGTTTCCAAATCTGCCACACGATGGCACTTTGTGTTGACAGTCTGACCCAAGGAATGCAAAAGTGTCAACTATAAAATAAACTTGTTCCTGGTCATGCGGCCGGCTTGATACACTTTGGCCTTAAGGTCATAGCTGGACATCTAACATCAAAAAGGCTGTGTCAGACTGACAGAAAATTCTTTCTGTGTAAGTTTGTAATATATGGTGAAATTACAAATCTGAATCAGAAACAGTGCAATATAAAGGTGCAAAGGGCATACTTGCCAAATTCTGCACTATTTAATCACATCCAGTAAATCTGCCTTACACAAAGTTTGGTAAATAATTACATAAACTGACAACCGTTGTATTGTCTGAAGAAAAAACCCCATCAAAACCTAATTTCAATTCCATTAATTCCAACTAGACAATGTCAGACATAAAGAACACAAACATGAGGCTATCACAAGACCAATTCCAGCTCTCAGGTATAGCATGTCCTAGGTTTAAATTTGAATCCAAGTGTCCCTCTCTCTCTCCGATGCCAAAAAAGTCAGTCAAACTATTTTTATCTACAACTTTATAACCCTTGGTAGCTAAAGGTTGCACTAATCTCATTGTACACCACTAAGCCACACATAATTGATGTGCCTCTGCTTTATCTGACATGGCATGAAAGACCTAAAAGAGTCCTTCTTGTACTCTAATACCAGCTAGAATAAGCAGCTGACAAGGACAAACAGAAGTCACAGTCATTTGGGTGCATTCAAGAAAAAGTGATTAAAATAAGCGCCCTAAAAGAACCAATAAACTTTACAAATAAGCACCATTATTTTTGATGTTGCTGTGATGTGCTGTGATGCATAATAATCTGGTGAAAGGTCTGACTAAGTCATACCACACCTTGTTAATTTCACTTATTCATTCGAGTGTTCATTTGAGAATTTTAGTGTTCATCATTTCACCAGCTATTTGCAAACTGGCTGTATTTCTTATCTATGCCACTGTCCTCTCCAGAAATCCACATATAGCCAAAGTCTTCACACTTTTTTAACAGCAAAACTCAGATAAAACTTCAGTTTTCTACCAGTTTACCTCACAAAACCATTTTAGAACATTTTTAAATCATTAATGTAAGCTCCTTATTCCACAACATTATAAGTAAGAGATTCAGTGTAAGACTGAGATAAAGTTTCATAGATGCTAACAGGCCAGAACCTGAGGAGGGGGCATGTGAGTACAGCCTTGCTGACAAGTGCCAAGTCAGTAGGTCTGCGGCCGACTCAGGTCAGGGTCTGGAGCTTTCAAATGTTGTCACCCCATCAACTCCGTTTCACTAACACTTATCAACTGCTCGCCAAAATCTAGTGCCTATTTCAAACTGAAAATTTCAAACTGATCATGTGAGATGCGGTTTTAGGTAAATCTTTGAATTAAAAAATGTTAGAAATTAAAGTTTGTCAGTTGAAAAAGGAAAAACCCTCAGAACACCAAACAACTGTTAAATGAGAGACTATGATGTCAATTATAGTGGGAATTATTAATGAATTAAAAATAATTGTGAATAGTTATGCTTTTGATGTATGGAAAAGATTTAGCTGATTGTCCACTGGGAACATTTTTCTTTCAAGTTTATTATGTTATTACATTTACTTGTCACAGTATTGTCAGGAGTATTATAGTATATAAGTAAGCAGGTTTCAAAATTGTTCAAGGCTTTATTCAAGGCTTTTAGGAAAATTGCACTTAAGACATTTCAAACTCCTTCTGCACACCATTATTCCCAGAAAAGGACTGCATTAAAAGAAAAGCACAGCCTGGTTTTTACCTGAAAATATCACATGAGCAATCATAACCTGGACTTTATTTAGTGCCTCAGTGCTGTGTTATAAAACCATATGTACCCAGTGGACAGTGGGCAATTGGTGGGGTTTCACACTAACGGCATCCCAAGTGGACTGTACCTTGAGGGCCAGGTGAAGTCTGTCTGAGCATCACTCTCTGAGTCTGTGTTGAGAGACCAGTCGCTCTTTGACAGGGCGGCCAGGCTACAGGATGATTTCATGCATCAGTATCAAACCCTGAGAGAAACTTCTGCTCTAGTTCTTAGAAACCAAATGTGCACTAAGCAGCTGGACTGTGCGACAACTACAACTACAACAAGAGTCAAGTTTAATAAGTAAGAACATTATTTATAGGCTTCATATAAGATTTGCCACAGTGTCATCACCCTGAATTCGTTCACATCCATTAAGCGTCTCGTTCCTTTTGTGGTGGCGTCTTCAGGTTTATAATAGAAACTGACAAACTCTTTGCTTAATGAACCAGGCTGCTGTTAAGTGAGGTTCGACTCTAAAGGCAAGCAAAATCCAGCCCTGCAATCATCCCTCTCACGTACAACCTTTCCTTGATGAGCTCCCCAGAGCCTCTTTCTATGTGAAACTGGAGCAGGCCAAGTGTGACTGAGCTGGGCCCACAGTCCAGAAAGATCCTAGCACTGACACAGTGGTAAAAGCCACAAGCTAAGAAGCTCAGCAGATAATGGGAGCCACAAACTCCAGATTATAGATTTTGAAAAGATAAAATACTTCTTTCAAGCTTTTTTTTTTACAAACACCAAATTCTAACAAGATTGCAAATACATATTTTATAATAATTTGAATTTATAATGATGAAAAAGTAATTAAAAATTAGCATATGAAAAGGATTATTAAGAAATATTAACTGAAAAAGAAGCATCAGAAATGTTATGGTATGATCACCGATGCACTACTGACAGCAGTAAAATCTTAAAGTATTTGCAGGTGCATGGAGTAAAACCACACAACAAAATAGGAGAATCAATAATGTTATGCTAAAGTAGGAATACAATAACAGAAGTTTAGCTAACAATAATTTATGTGGGGTGTTAGTATTTATGCAGTATTTTATTATTCTAATCTAATTTTTTGGAGTTATATTAACATATACTTGTGCTGTATTTTGGTATTAGTGTAAAAGATAACAAAGTTTAACCTGACTGCATGCATTTTGTTTTATTTTGTCATCTTACCCCTGCCTGTTTAGGATGCTCTGGGCCTGCTGCTCAATGAATAAATCCCCAGGTGAGATGCCGTAGCGAGTGGAGGGCAGGGATGCCCGGCGGGCAGTGCGAGGGGAGCTGGGCACTGCTGCAATGCTGTAGTCCCGGGTGGTGGCTGGACTTGGCTCCTGCTGGGCAGCATCTTGCTGATGGGGTTGCTGTTGTTGTTGGGGCTGGGCTGGATGCTGTTCCTGAGTCCTTGTTCTAGAAGAGACTGAGCGCTCCTGAGCTCCACCACGCCGATAGTTCTCCATATTCATCACTCTTTCCCGTTCTGAAAATCGGCTTGGTCTTTCTTGAGAGGGGGGAGGGGCTTGGTTTGACTCGGAGGAGCTTGATGTGCTAACAGGCGCAGGATCTGGGTGAGTCCTCATGGAAACCCTGCCCACTCCAGAGCGGTACGGCACCCTAGGGTCGCGTCCTTCTGTCTCTACTTCTGGTCTGTCCCTGTCTCGCCTGGCAGCAGTTTGTCTGTCAGCGGAGTCTGGATCACGCCTGGAACGGTAGCGTGGTATATAATCGCTGTCCGCTTCCTGATCCAGGAGGATGCCATAACGCTCTGAGAGCTGGCGCCGGCGCTCAGCTTTGTAGCGGGCGATGCGCTCAGCCTTAGAACTGAGGTTTGTGGATTCTGTGGGGCCAGATGTGGGTGTAGAAGAGGTGGATAGTGTTACTGGGTCAACATAAACCAACACTGGCTCTGGGCGGCTGCTGCCAGCACCACCTTTGACCTGAGGTGACCTGTCAGGAGATGACACCTGCTTCTGTGGAGCCACCGTCTCCTCTCGGCTGTAGCGTTTCACTGTGGTAAATAGTAAAAATACTTCATTAATTATCAGCAATAACCCTGGAGAACTAAAAATGATACCAAAATCATGTCACACGTTTGTAAACTGAAAATGTTGAAGTTGAGTCACACTTACAGCAGAACAATGCTCAAGAGATCAAGTATAGATCCATGTGAAAAAGAACATTCTTCACAGAACTCAATGCAGGCCTGTGAAAAACTAGCATATCCCTAACACTTCTTTAAGAATTAAGGGGAAAAGTAGATGCCAGGTGCTGCTAATCAAATGCATTTTATTAACTGAGTGTGATAACACAATGACATAATCCCAGGCCAGAATCATCCCGGCAAAGACCCCAATCCAGTCTGCTGAATGGCTTTGGAAAATTTGAAGGATAAGCAAAAACCCTTAGTGATCCCATATGTCTCAGGAGTATTGGAACAGTTGAGATGCATTTTTTGTAAACACCACATCTCCGTGGCTTTTAAACCCTAAAACACACAGCGCCAAAAATTGGTCTGCCCCAAGGATCGGGTCCCCCAACAAACAGAGTAATGTAGTGTACGCTGTTAAGTGCCAGGAGGATTGCCAGGATTTATACATCGGGGAAACCAAACAACCTCTGGTGAAACGGATGGCACAACACAGAAGAGCTAACTCCTCAGGTCAGGACTCTGCAGTCTACTTACACCTACAGATTTGAGCGGGGACACAAGGAGGCCAATTATGTAAAAAGGGAAGGACCATCGCTGAATCAAGGACCTAGGGGCCTAAGGGTACATCTGTCACCATCTTACAATGCTGTGATTGCCGCCATTCCCCAACTCTCTGTGAATGGTACTCATGGCCATCTATCCGTGGGCTTTGATCAGTGGTTGTTGATCAATGGTCATGAGAATTTGGTCATGATCAAGGAACTGACCACACAGCCCATTGTTCATTCAGTGGGCTACTTCCAGTCATTGTGCAATTGTGCTTTATAAGGTTGGGGAAACTAGCAGGCAGCTGAGACTGAAGAAGTCACTTGGATGAGTGATGAAACGTTTCTCCCACTGAAAACGCGACCTCCAGATAAACAGATTCAACTTTTTGGGAAGGATGGCATAAATTTTGGACTTTTACCTGTATTTTGACAGGTTTTCCAGCTTTCTTTCCAGCTTTCATCTTAAAGTCTACAGGCCTCAGTTAGCATGGTATGGCTTATTTGGAAGCACTGCCAGGAGAAAGCCCAATTTCTCTAAGAAGAACATGAGCATGGCATAAGTTTGTTATGCTGCATCTGAACAAACCACAAGACTTCTGGAACAATGCTCTTTGGATGGACAAGACCAAAGCGAAGTTTGGCCAGAACGTGCAGCACCATGTTTGAAGAAAAACAAGAGACATATAACAAAATAAACACTTCCGACCAACTGTCAAACAGGATGGTTGAGGGTTGATGATTTGGGTTTGTTTTGCTACAGGGTCTGGGCAGTCGACATACCGTAATTGTCGGGCTATAAGCCGCTACTTTTTGCACAAGCTTTGAACCCTGCGGCTTTTAGTCAGGTGCGGCTTTTCTATGGATTGTCCGTGATTTTTGTCATATCGTAAGACGATTTGTTTTGTGTGTTCCGCTGTTGTACGGCACTACGTTGCCTGGCGGAAGGATCGGGGTTCAAGAGTGGTATGTTAGTCACATGTCCGTCCGCCAGGCAACGTAGTGCCGTACGAAGTAGCGCGAAAAACAAACTTCAAAGTAGCGGTACGCGTTCAGCGGGAGTCGTGGATGATGAGCGGCGATAAACTTGCAAGTTATGCCCAAAAAGCAAGTTATGCCCAACTCCACCGGTGGATTCTGACAGCGTGGAAAAGTGTGAAAACATCCACGATCACCAACGGATTTTGAAGGGCTGGACTGCTGCATGATGGAGAGGAGGACACCGCCACGGCCCTTCTGAGGGTGTTCGACTCTGACACTGACAATGAGGATTTCTTTGGTTTTGAAAGTGACAACGAAGGAGAGAAGCGGAGAGTGGATGACGAAGCCATCCTGAGCCTGTTTGTATCCGACACTGGAGAAGAGGACTTTGGTGGTTTTAGTGCGCAGGAAGAAGAGAAAGATGGTGGTGAATGACTGACTTTTCTTCTTGTTAAAGCTGTGTCACTGCACCTGAGCCTAAAAGGTAGTCCGAATCTATTTTTCTGGTGTGCTGTAGGCTACTGTTATGTACTACATGTGCAAATATGTACCCATAACTTGTTTTTCAAAATATTAATAAAAGTGATGTCTCCAAACAGCCATCTCTTTCCTGACAATTCCCTTTGTGCATATTCTCTTACATATGATAAGTCAACATTGAAACACCTGCGGCTTTTAGTCAGGTGCGGCTAATGTATGTACAAAACAGGATTTTCCCCTGATTTTAGCTTGTGCGGCTAATATTTAGGTGCGCTTTGTAGTCCGGGAAATACGGTAATTCAGTTCACCAAAAGTTTACCAATGTATTGTAGCGTCAAAGAGCCCATTAGTCTGACAGCTATTGTGTCATGGAACAGGACAATGATCCCAAGCACAGAAGTAAATCTACAACAGCTTAGAGTAGCTGAAAACAAAAATGGTCAAGGTGTTACGGCGGCCCAGTCAAAGTCCAGACCTCAACCTGATTGAAATGCTTTGGTGGGACCTCAAGAGAGCTGTCCATAAACAGATGCCCACAAACCTCAATGAGCTGAATCAATGCTGTAAAGAGCAGTTGGCCAAAACTCCTCGACAGTTATGTGAGAGACGGATAAAGTCATACAGAAAACTACTACTGCTGAATCATAGAGTGATTGTGTAGTCCTGAGAAAACGTTCCTTTTCACATGATTGTACAAAATACGTTTTTTAAAAAACACAGATGCAGTTTACACAAGGGGGACATTTTTCTGATGTGGTGAAACAGAACATTCTCAGACATTCGTATCACTTTTTTACTTCCCATCTTGCAAACTGTGGCAACATGCAATTACAAGCAGTTTCAGGGGTGCTTGATTGCTCAAAGGTATGTTGAGATAACACCAATTCTGGGAATACACACACTGACATTGCATCTCCAATGTGGTTTCATTCCATTATTTCAAAAGCTCCAAATTGTTTCAGAAGTGTCATGTTGAGTTTTTGTATTTTAAAAGCTGACAGGATTCCCTATGTTGTTCCTGAGGCTGACTTCCTGTACTTTCCATCTGATCTGTGCATGCTGATGCACCTTGCATAAAAAAAATCTGTTAATCTGAGGATAGGATGTCTTAAAGAGGGAGGTTTCCCCTTGTTTCAGACAGACAATGAGCTGTGGGTCTGCACAAAACCCAACTATGCCAACCTACTCTAATAGAGTCTATTAAAGCATATATAGAGTTAGAAATGAGGTCCTCTTCAATTGTTGAGACATATTTCAGTAGTCCAATTAAAGCAGCACAGTTCAGCAATGCATCATCCCATGCTTACCCATCACGCAAGGCTCACAGGGGTCTGAGGCGCGGGTGTATCGTGGGGGATCCTCCTCAAGCATCCTGTTGGCGACCAATCCACCAGGCACCAGTGCAGGTGGTGCATCACTTTCAATGCCCTCCAGGCGCCGGGCTATCCTCTCCTTCCTGTTGGAGACAACATACAGCAGGTGAAGGTTAGAAGTGAAGGAAGTCTTTGACATGTTTACATCAAAATACGTTGTCGTTCTTGAAAATACCTGTTCATTCCCAAATCCTTTCTGACCGCTCCCTCAAAATATTTCTTCAACTCTGAAACTAAAAGTAGGACCAGAAATTTGAGTTAAAGAAATGGCATGACTAACTAAACATTAATTTATTCTGTGTTATTATTTGTAAGTGTTTAGAAGTGAAGCCCACCTTTGGGGAGGACAACCAGAAGTTTGGCATCTGTATCTGAAACACTCTTGACCAAAGCGGTCTTGTCATTCAAGGAGAAGTCACTCTGAAAACTGAAAAAGAAGAGAAGAAGACACAAACCAATATGAAACTTATGATGCAATAAACTTCTATTCTTTTAATCAGGAAGTCTAAAGTCAACCCAAAGAAAACTAATGATGCTCTAAACCTCACATAGCCAACTAGATTCCTCTTTAGCCCTCACAACAACTCTTCCTCAGCTGACCTGTCCTAAAGAGGTAAAAGCAGGTAACGCTGAAGCTCAGCTGGTGTAGCATCTATTAAGATCCAACTTAAGAAAGAGGTCATCAATTCCTTAATTAGAAACCGCCAATTAAGGTCTTCTCTTAATGATTTTATTTGGCAGCATGAACAGATGAACATGAACATGATCACACAAGCCAGGATAATTAAGCTCACCCTTCTTTTGTTTCCAGTAGCTTCTCCAACTATTTTATTCATCACTTAAACATAAATCTTAACATCAGTTGTGTGCGTTAAAGTTCTGGAAGTGATGCTGAGCTAACATGATGTAAGAGTAAACATAAAGCTAAAACTGAACTACATACAATTAAATCTCATTGAGCTGCTCTTGTCATCTTTTAAATAAGATTTTAGGGTGCTACTCTTCATTTTTAGGACCAGATACCTTTAATTTTATCTTATAATTTATATAGAAGTGAAGCTATTTAGCTTGTAGCCCCAGAGCACTAACGCTGTCCTGTAAACTAATGCAAAACGGAGCTTGGTGCAGTGTGGTCCTGAAGGAGGTATTATAGCTCTAATTCCATGTGAACTAAAAGGTTTCTTAGCATAAGCTGGTCCAGGCATCTCAGCTTTTAATGGTTACTAAGCATGATAAGCTAAAGCACTCGAGTAAGTAAATCATATAGATCGGTTCAATGCGTCCCTAGATAACAAAACATAAAATAACAGTAAATGCTGCATATCATTTACTTTAAGTAGTTTACATTATAGGTAGCTATATAAATAAATCCACCTGCTATAAACCCATTTTTAAATTGTTTTAATATTGGTATCCCATCGTGATTTCACATAAAGAGAGTTTATTCTTTACTGACCTTAAGGTGTCTGTTGGCAGCGAGGTGGAGGTACAAAGTTTGGTAGACGCTTTAGATCCAAATCCTGAGAAGAGAAACAAGACACAGTTAAACTTGAATAATAAATATATACATATATATGTTGGCATTGCAAGTACCGAAGCATCTGTATCAAAATAATAATAATGGATTGATATAGCGCTTTTCAAGGCACCCAAAGCACTTTACAATACCACTATTCATTCACACACTGGTGGACGCAGCTACGGTTGTAGCCACAGCTGCCCTGGGGCAGACTGACAGAAGCGAGGCTGCCATATCGCGCCATCGGCCCCTCTGGCCAACACCAGTAGGCAAGCAAGGTAAAGTGTCTTGCCCAAGGACACAACGACCAGGACAGAGAGCCCAGGGATCGAACCGGCGACCTTCCGGTTACAGATGCGATTCCCAACCCCCTGAGCCACGGTCGCCCCGTAAATAAACCGTATGTTTCACTATAATGTATTACAGAGTTCTTTATCCACTAATCAAAGACAAAACCTGAAACAAAATTTAAGAAAAGGAACAAGAAACAGCTCAATATGCATCATAAAGAAAGTCTTTTAAAACCTTCTGAACAGCTGAGCTATTTTGAACTTTAAAGTTACATCTAAATGTAAAAAAACAACTACAACTTTACAATAAAACAAAAGAATGGCACAATCTTTGCTCTATTGTATTTACAAGCATACAATTCGGGTAGCATGGTTGTAGCATACATGGTATAACTATGCTATAATTGTACTGCTTAGAGACAATCAAGAAAGAATGGAAAAGCCTTGTTGCTTCGATCACTTTCCAGAGGTGTTAAATCCTGTCTAGCTGCACTTTAAATATGTGTTTTTGTGTTTGAAACTTGTATAAATCCACGACTGAATTGCTCGGTCCTTATCCATATTTGATTTCAAAGTACTTCAAACAACATACATATCCACCAGTGTTGCTTGGTGGAGTTTTTTTTTATAGTGTACTATAACACCTACCAATCCAACAATCAGTACAAGACATATAGCCTTATATTATTTTTCTTTTGACATTTAAAGATGAGGAAAATCAAAACTTCAACCCATTCACAATCTAATTTTTTATGAGGAAACAACAACCTTTTACCAACATTAGAAAATCTGTTTACATGGGCACAAGAATTTAAGTTAAAGTAAACAATGACATTTAATGCAGGAAACAAAAATCAATCAATAAATAACTTAATCAATATTAAACGAAACCATGTCCAGCTTTGGACAAAACACCTACCAAGCTGGGAACAGACAGACAAAGACATTTTGAAATAATTCACAGGATTATTTTGATGGGAAAACACAAGACCGATATAAAATAGGTTGATATTATAGAGCGATTAACCAAGAGTTGCTGCTGTGCTCTTCTCAAACTAAACACTTGGTTCATTTCTCACAGGAAATTTCCAACCCCACAATGAGCTCACTTCAAAAAAAGAAAACTCTGAGTTCACATCCAGTTCCCAACTGATATCTGACCTTCTCGCTCACATGTCACAGCAACAGCAGCCTGTTGTAAACTTGTATCCCAGTATAGGGGACCGATCACATTACTGCTCCAGACGCCTCCATAACATCTTATTTTGGCCCCCGAGTGACTGTGTGGCAATGCTGTGCAACTTTTGTTTTGCAGGGTAGGAAGGAAGCGTGGATGTGTAAAGATGTGGTTCTGGAGAAGGCAAAATCCTGACAAGTATCAAGTTTAAGGGTTTCTCGGTAACATGTAGGTGACTTCAGAGAAATCAAAATCTGTTAGACTCGTTCATTTTATAATTTATGCTCTTCTCTGTTTACAAAACACAGATTGCTGAAAAGCTGTCCATGACTACTTCTGTACTCTGTACTTCTGTATTTTCACATGTGCGATCAATAAACGCCATAACCTTTGGCATTATCTGTTCTCAAATCCACAAACATTCAGCGTTTTCACAGCCTGTGGGAATTCGTAGAGCTGCATGTATCTGTCAGTCTGTGATTTCACTAACATACTTCCTCTGGTGGAAAGCCCCTTGTACAGATGTCAGCTTGTCTTTCCTTGGAAACGCCTGCAGGTTGTCAACAAAACAAGCAGCACAAGCATCAAAGCTGGCACTGCCAGAGAGCGGCTTAGGCTGCTGACGGTCCTAAAGTGAGCGTGGAGAGGAGAGGGATTTTCTATAAATATTCAGAGGTGCAAAATAGACTCCCTGAGTGAACTAGGGCTTTGCTTTCCACACAGTGTCTTCCCATCATACACCTTGTGATGTTTTTACAAAGCGTTTCATGAAGAGTGCATTTACAAGATAAGGCATCCACAGGAGCATCTACCTGTTGAAATATAAAGTGCTAAATGAGAGTAGCTAAACCACACTTTTTAGTATCATAATCTTAATTTAAAAAATTTTGCATAGTTTAAATCTCATATCACAACTGTTTGATCCAACCAATAAGAAGTCTCAAGGTGAATCACCTCATCTATCAATCTCTGTCACTTTTCTTAGCTAAGAGCTAAATTGCATGGATCTTCCAAGCTAATCTAGACAGTTAAAGGTATTCAAGTGGGTTAAGAAAGTCTTCCTAAAGCCTCTTCCTCTTCAGCAGGCCTTACCTGTGCCAGAGGGCTGCACATGGTTCACATGGTAACTAGAGATCCATGGGTTTCGAAACATGTTTAGGGAGAAGAACAGAAGGATAGCCTACGCCTATACTCCCCTCTGGTCACAGTGGTGGTAACGGTGGTGGACAGCAGGAGTGGCAGCAGTGAAGATGAAGGTTGCTACCAGCAAGCCGAAAAGGAGGGATGGAGGTGGTGACACGACCTCGCACGCACACACATATATACACACACGGATATGCAGAACAGAGTGACTGGCCACAAAGCAAGCTACAGCCTGGACAGACTGGCAGTCGTGCAATGCCGGTGTGTATGTCGGTGTGTGTTCGTGCACGCAAGCGAGCCGAGAGAAAGAGGGAGAGACAGCACAGCAGGGTGCTAAAGCAGCTCAGAACCCTAATCAGATTACAGGCAGAAATTAGCCTTGATGATGAAAACTCTGGAACAGGATTGGAGGAGGATGCCAGGAGGACTGCAGGTGGTGGTGTGGGGCCCAGGACTACTGGAAGTCAGATGGTAGCTTAACACTGGCATAGTAAGGGCATGCTTCAGCCAACATTGCCAATTGCCATCAAACTTCTATAAACTGAAGCCAAACACTGCATTAATATTATGATTAGGCTCTTAGGCTACGTTCACACTGCAGGTCTTAATGCGCAGTTCCGATTTTTTGATCAAATCCGATTTTTTGTCTGCTTGTTCACACTACAAATAAAATGCGACAGCAAACGCACTCTTGTGTGACCCCTCAAAGCGGCCCGCATGCGCAAAAGAAGACGTCACACACAACGCGCTCTGTTTTAAGTTATAGAGTTATTTTGTTATTTATATATGGCCTAATAATTATCCTTATTGCTGTTTTAGAGAGGAGCGGTGCTTCAAAGGATAGTTGGAAATGTCTGTCAGAATCTGCAGATTATACAGTACAAATAAAATGTTCACATTTCTCCAACTTTGTCTTCCCAACAGTTTCACTAACATCTACACGGGATGGCCAGGAATCTTCTCCGGCGTTGATAATTGGTGTCTGTCTTGTGTCAGTGACGTAAAAGACGGATTTAAAGCGACATGACCGTTCAAACAGCAGTCGCTTTCTAAACCATCAGATGTATCAGATTCAGTACCACATACCAAAGTGACCCAGATCGCCTGCAGTGTGGCTGTGAAACTTTTAGTCATTTTAGTATTTATTATTTATTAGTATTTTAGTTTAGTATTACAGTTTACAAGAAAATAAAATTCAGTGTATTCCCAAAGCAATGATTCACTCTAGTTGCAAGGCTATCAGTTTCACCCTGAAGTCAGTAAGGCTTTCATATACAGGGATGTGGCTGATAAGAAATGGCCTTAAATTTGGTTTCCTTCTCATCATACTCCATCAAAACTGTGCTATAAGATCATTGCTTTTTGCTTCAGCACCTGCTTCATGTTCATTGTTTGCTGCTAAAAATATGCCAGCGAGTCAGGCATATATGATAATCACATAGTGCTGGTGCAGAGGCAGTTTTATTGAAGAAATGGCAGAAGCCACTTCTGTCAGTCATTACATCAGTGAGACGAGTGAGGACGACGCAGCACCCTGGAGGTCACAGTGAGAGTTCAGAGAGTCGTGACATAATGTCCTCCAGCAGTGCAACAGCTGGCCACCTTTAGTGATTTAACACATGGAAATATACAGGGTGGGCCATTTATATGGATACACCGTAATAACATGGGAATGGTTGGTGATATTAAAGTCCTGTTTGTGGCACATTAGTATATGTGAGGGGGCAAACTCCTCAAGATGGGTGGTGACCATGGTGGCCATTTAGAAGTCGGCCATCTTGGATACAACTTTTGTTTTTTCAATAGGAAGAGGGCCATGTGACACATCAAACTTATTGGTAATGTCACAAGAAAAACAATGGTGTGCTTGGTTTCAACATAACTTTATTCTTTCATGAGTTATTTACAAGTTTCTGACCACTTATAAAATGTGTTCAATGTGCTGCCCATTGTGTTGGATTGTCAATGCAACCCTCTTCTCCCACTCTTCACACACTGATAGCAACACCGCAGGAGAAATGCCAGCACAGGCATCCAGTATCCGTAGTTTCAGGTGCTGCACATCTCGTATCTTCACACCATAGACAATTGCCTTCAGATGACCCCAAAGATAAAAGTCTAAGGGGGTCAGATCGGGAGACCTTGGGGGCCATTCAACTGGCCCACGACGACCAATCCACTTTCCAGGAAACTGTTCATCTAGGAATGCTCGGACCTGGCACCCATAATGTGGTGGTGCACCATCTTGCTGGAAAAACTCAGGGAACGTGCCAGCTTCAGTGCATAAAGAGGGAAACACATCATCATGTAGCAATTTCAAATATCCAGTGGCCTTGAGGTTTCCATTGATGAAGAATGGACCCACTATCGTTGTACCCCATATACCACACCAAACCATCACTTTTGTTGTTCCAACAGTCTTGGAGGGATCCATCCAATGTGGGTTAGTGTCAGACCAATAGCGGTGGTTTTGTTTGTTAACTTCACCATTCACATAAAAGTTTGCCTCATCACTGAACAAAATCTTCTGCGTGAACTGAGGGTCCTGTTCCAATTTTTGTTTTGCCCATTCTGCAAATTCTGTGCGCCGATCTGGGTCATCCTCGTTGAGATGCTGCAGTAGCTGGAGTTTGTAAGGGTGCCATTTGTGAGTAGCTAATATCCGCCGAAGGGATGTTTGACTAATGCCACTCTCCAGTGACATGCGGCGAGTGCTACACTGTGGGCTCTTGCTGAATGAAGCTAGGACAGCCACTGATGTTTCTTCATTAGTGACAGTTTTCTTGCGTCCACATTTTGGCAAATCCAACACTGAACCAGTTTCACGAAACTTAGCAAGCAGTTTGCTAACTGTAGCATGGGAGATGGGTGGTCTCGTAGGGTGTCTTGCATTGAAATCTGCTGCAATGACCCGGTTACTGCGTTCACCAGATATCAACACAATTTCGATCCGCTCCTCACGTGTTAACCTCTTCGACATGTCAATGGCTGTGAACAAAGAGAAACTTGTAAATAACTCATGAAAGAATAAAGTTACGTTGAAACCAAGCACACCATTGTTTTTCTTGTGACATTACCAATAAGTTTGATGTGTCACATGGCCCTCTTCCTATTGAAAAAACAAAAGTTGTATCCAAGATGGCCGACTTCTAAATGGCCACCATGGTCACCACCCATCTTGAGGAGTTTGCCCCCTCACATATACTAATGTGCCACAAACAGGACTTTAATATCACCAACCATTCCCATTTTATTACGGTGTATCCATATAAATGGCCCACCCTGTATATTGGGAGAATGTATGAAAAGCTCTCTGTTTTTAAGAACTTAAACTCTGAAATATCCATCCATCCATTTTCTCCCACTCTTGTTTTTGCCCTCGTATATGTAATGTTTGTAGCAGAAAGTTTGTATCACAAATACAACATTAGGTAGCGTAGCTTACTGCTAAAATTATATATGATAATTAAAAAACACTTTATAGTTCAAAGTACATTAAAAGCACAAGGTAAATAAAAACAACTCAAAATTCAGAATTAGTCATGTGAGATTTCTTAGCTGTTTGTGGGCCACAGTTTCAATCATTCTCTGCTATTTGTGACAATAAATGCTTATATGTGATGCAATGTACGAGGCATAAAAAGCCCTAAAAACACAATGTGTAGAGCACCTGGAGCAAGGATGTATGGAGCCTGTAGTGTTTCCTGTAGATGACAGAGGATGAAGTTGTTTTTAACGATCAGTGACCTGATTTAAAAACAAAATCTTGTTACACAGTTTTGGAATCACTTGCTTACTCACTCGTCTTCTCTGCGTGATGCGTTTTCTCACCCTTTCACACACAAACTACCCCCACCTCCTCCAGTCTGCCTCTGCACCCTGTAGACGCCCCTAATAAGGCAACATGTGTTGTGAGTGGCTGCCTCGGAGAGAGGTCACCCCGTCAGGCAGCCTGCCTGTGTTTATCAAGGGACCATCTCCATGCCTTCTCCCCGCTGCTCTATCTTGTTTTCCTTGCCATTCCTTCTTTTCCTTCCCCAGATTTGCCATCCGTGCATCTGCCTCACACACTCCTCTTGTCTCTCCCACTCATTCCCAACAACTCCTTCTCATTCTCCATGTCTTTCTCTCTCTTCTACTCTTTATTGCATTCATTTTATTTCACTTTGTCTTATCGGTTTCTCCACCACTTCCAGTAGCAACAAACACAAGACATCCTCTTTCACTCATTCTCTGTCTCATTGGTTGCATACAAATTTATCATTTCAAAATCTGCCAGACGTCATTCATAAGGCTTTTCTTAGAAGTAAACCACACTGGCAGGGGATGTAATACTTCAAGCTTTCCAAGTAATAAAGAAGGACTATGGGTGGATGAGCTGATGACAAGATGGGAACTCGTGTCAGACATCACGACCAGCGCACAGGTTTAAGATCTGATTTGCAATCCTCTTCTATCATTCAAAATTTACAGTAACCCAATAAAGAAGTGTCTCCTTAATTTTATATGGGGATATCATTTAAAAAGTCAGCTGTAAATATCTCACTTATGCAATTTTTGTACAATTTTTAGTGCATTTGTACAATAAATGAGCTTTCTTAATGCACAATATCAGCAAATCTAAATTTTAAATTAAAAAAAAAAATACTTCACTTTTGAAATGAGGATATCCTGCCAAAACATTATCTGTAAATAAATCATAGCAACAAAACTCTGATGTTAACAGGCCGTCAGCGACATTAAAGGCATGGATGTGCACATTCAGACCACTTGGTGGTCTCACGGTCTGTTAGGTGGAAGACACAATGTGAAACTTTGCTCTACAATTTCATCACTTTTCAGCACAGGATGTACAAACGCTGTCATGCAACCTTCAATAAAACTCAACACCCAGAACATCATGTAAACACCACTTAACAAATCCCTGCATGACTCAGCATCAAAGCATCTCTCTGCTAATCACGCTTGACCTGAGAAGCCCAAGCTGGACATAAAGAGTTTTAGCTAAGTTTGGAGGTATTACTACAGACAGCAACACCATAGGATACTTTGTTTGAATCTGTTTTGACAGCCTTAGCTTTACTGGGCTTAAAACTTTCTGTGATGATACTTATGGGGGGCTTGTGTCGAGTACAATGTTGTGCTTTTGCATTCCGAGTTAAAGACAATATTCCAACTCACAAAAACAAGCACTTAATTCCCGTGCACACCATTCCTGCTGCACTGCATGACAATCTGCAGCCACTTTAGTGAGTTAAAGAAAAATAATTTCCATGAAGTCATTTGGTGAGTTTAAACTGCTATGTGTCAACATTATAAAGAAAAAAATGATTAACTGATTCCAAATATTAACCATAATGACACAATAAAAAAATCATTATACACACTGATTAACTAAACAGAGAAATCATTCCCCAAATTTCCTTTACACTCTATATATTTTGTTGTCGTCATAGTGGATCATCTGCCTCAATCTCACCTGACCCTTAGCATCCTCTTCTACATGTCATCCTTCACT